CTAGCCCGGTCTGCTGGGGTATTCTCGTAGCCGCACAGCTTTGGGTTTTACCAAAAAATGATGTGCTTTACTAAAAAGTTAGCTTAAAAGCTGTTTGGCAGTTGGCTGGTGCTCTTAACGGTATGCCTAATACCTAATCTGTCAAGTACTGGTGGTGTGAAAAGTGGCAGCTTTGGGGCTTGTTGGAGGATGATCCCAGTGCGTAAAATGGGTGGCGCTAGTATCGAATGCGGTTTTCTTGGCCTACCAAAGAAAAACTGTTTTCGCCTCACGAATATTAACATCGGTGCGGTGCAACAGACCTGAAAGTTTATCATTAACCCGTGTGCCAAGGAAAAACTTTGCCTCAGCTGATTCCAATGGATTCACCCCATCGGTGACACACCCTAATGCCTATGCCAATGGCCGGCGCTAGGGTATAGAGTTTGTGTTGTCGCGTCTTCGTCAAGGACGCCACCGAATGTTTTAACAAGTTCGAAAGTTTCGGTAGGAAGTGATCTGGCCTCATACCTGTCCATAAAAGCATGATCTTGCGTATAGTCAGCTAACCGCAACTTTATCAAATCGTGGGTCTTTCCATGCATATTTGTAAATGCCTCCGAAATAATTCCAGCCAAAAATCGCTGATAAAGGTGTGGTAATTAGGAAATAACGCTGGAAAATATTTACAGTCTTAAAAGTTTTGTGCCATAGTCCTTGTTCAAAATGGCTGTTGTACAAATTTGAAGTTGAGTCATCCAGCTCGCAGGAACCGGACGATGACAAGTTACGCAATTTTGACACATTTATCCAACTTTTGAAAACACCATTGAGCTAACCGCTGTTAAGACGAAAGACAAAATAGTGTATGAATCAAACCTGGTGCAGTGGTTGTGACGCAAGCAGCAACATCTAGCTTAATCCCTAATCTTCTTTCGACGGCCGGGCGGCTGCTGTGTGGTCTGAGTTTCTCCTCTAGCTTCAGTGGTTGGTCTGAGTTTCTCCTCCAGCTTCAGCGGTTGGTCTGGGCTTCTTCTGTAGCTTCAGCAGTCGTTCTGGGCTACTCCTCCAGCTTCAGTGGTTGGTCTTGGTTACTCCTCTAGCTTCAGGGGTTGGTCTTGGTCACTCTTCTAGCTTCAGTAGTTGGTCTGGGTTACTCCTCTAGCTTCAGCGGCTGATCTGGGTTACTCCTCTCGCTTCAGCGAGGAGCCGGGTCTGACACCTGTCCGGCGGTGCCGTCAGATGTTCTAGCGTCTTGCATGTCTTCTATGGCGTTAATGTGCCCCACATGTCGTGTGATTTAGCCGAACAGAAGATTTTAACGACGCGCAAAAGCAAGATGCATCAGGCTAGGACGTGTTTCGTGCTCCCATCGTTATATGTCCAGATTTGTAACCAATTTTATACAGTTTATTTAAGTGTCTTTTTATATGCTCAATTAAAAGCCAACGATGCCAATGGCGCTTTCAAGAGGAGAAAAGTGATGCAAAACAGATGCTACGACGCCGCGTGTTTAATGAGGGTACGCGATACGTTATATTAGAACGATGCAGGAGGCACCCCTTTGGTGGGGAGGAGGGGGGGTCAGCGAAAGATATAAGAATCATAAAAGTTTCATGCACCCATATAGAGCACTATTGGTTCCCAAAAATTTTGACCCTAGGTCAAATATGAGGCCACCAAGAGTCATGAGTTGAAAAACCGGCCGTTCTGGTAGATGCCGTTAACACATATGTTAATACGTCAAGACGGATATCGAGGGCACGGAAGTAAGCGTCAAGACTGTGGGCAGTCCATTCTGACCATTTTTCTTCCCTCACAAGGGTCATGTTGGGTCAGGTCACGGTTCAGAAGTGTTCTGCCAGTAGCATACAAGAAGGCGATACTTTTTGTTCTCTTTCACATTGTATTTCCGACTTTTTATATCCGACTATATTATATATTTGTTTTTAGGTGCAGCTGTGGAACAAAGGCATTCCGAACAAAAACATTTTAACTACCCTAGAGGCCAGCTGAGGTCAACTCATGCAGCATTCATAAACCATCCCGCTTACAAAATTTGAAGGGCTAACTGGGTATACCTGATCTGCATAATATTTTTCTGTAGTCAGAAATGGTGTGTTGTACATCTACAGGTACTTGAGATCGCATAGCTATTGTATACATTAAACATAGTCGCTTCGACGCTTGACAATGCATTTGTACCAAGCCAAAAACAGGCACGTTAGTACATTAGATTATACGTCATCAGCTTCACAAACGCGATATAGAAATGGTTACCGGTTGGTAATGGTTAATGGTTTCACCCGTTCATCTGGCCTCTCCGCTATTGACAACGGAGATCATCGGCCTTAAATGACCTGGTGTGACCTTACATGTCCTCATGTAACCTACTGCAACCAAATTATGCATTAAAATGGTGTCACATGTTTCCAGTGAAACATTATAATTTTGTGCCCAAAACTACCTGAAAAACTGTCTATTTAAAACTCAGCATGCGTTTTGCAGGAAGCGCTCATAAGGATGGGCCATGGTCTAGGCCAATTTGATGTGCCCTTTGGTCATATGATGGTCACACACGTGCATTAGTACTATTTACTTCATAAACAACCACCAAAACTGTACGAAATACGTACAACACGCATTACTTATGACAAGATAGGAAAAATGGCCCGTCCTCAGGTCACTGACCTTGCCAAAAATTCTGAAAAAATATATTAGGTACTGTTATGAAAACATCCTCAAACTGTAGGTGCCTTCATGTTCTATTACTAAAGAAAGTTTGAGCATCGACAAATAACGCACAAAAAGGTTATGCATGGCCAATTTTTCATAAGCTGACCTCTTTGAGCTGACTTATGGCGCTGACTTTGGCAGATCAAAACACTGAACTTTCAGAAAAGATGTCAGATTGATAGATAAACAGATAAAGAAAATTTGGTGTTATTGCGAGCTTTAGTTTTTGAGCTGCGCTCGAAAACCGCACCGGGAAGTCAACTTACGCGGCCGGGCGCGGACTGAGGCGTCCCAATCTATCTACGTGTCATGTCTGCAAAGCACGACAATATTCACCAAGTCGGAAATGTTCTTTTCAAATACGCTCCCTGCGGACATTGGTATTGCGCTCAGATTTTGTAGCCGATACAAAACATAAAGGAAGAGGCCTGATTGTTGCGAAACTGACAATACTAATACGATTTATTGTAGGCGTAGGAACGTTTCAAAAAGTGTGTGGGGGGGCAAGCTAAAGGCATACCTCAGGAATATTTCTGGAAAGCAAGCCCGATTACCGTGGGGGGAGGGGGGGGGTGTAAAGATGGAGGTTGTTATCGTTCTTTATTCAAATGCCGTGCCTGCTATGCTAGATATGCGTATAGAGCTCTTTCTCACTGGTGCACAATCTTGCCTATTCGACTTATCTATGTCATCCAGCAAATAAGGCTTATAAGGCAAATTAAGGCAAATAAGGCCAGCTTCCCAAGAATATTCGTCCATTTTATTCAACAGCGTCAAAGTATAAAAAAATGAGTGGTGGGACAGCTGAGAGGTGAAAGTGACAGCCTACCCCAAAATGCGTAAACAAACTTCTTCCCAGACAGTATGCAAGGTAACAGCAAACTGAAAAGAATAAAACAATAAGCACGCTACTCGATGGCTGAGCTCAGAATATTCGCCTGCTGTAGACGCCCCAATCTACCTGACGCCGCCTCTGCACACGACACGCTACTCGATGGCTGAGCTCAGAATATTCGCCCGCTGTAGACGCCCCAATCTACCTGGCGCCGCCTCTGCACATGACATTTTGTACTTAGTAGGCACGGTATGTGTTACCTTGATGCGGTTCGTGATCGAGATCTTTTGAAAACGTCTATTAGTAAAATTAACTTGTTTCAGCAAGTCGTTTAGCTTAGCATAGCTGATATACAGCTAAGTACTCAACTTCCTCACGTTATCGTCCCTGAATCATCTCCCTGGTAGTCCACAGCTCCCTGGTAGTCCACAGCTCCCTGGTAGTCTACAGCCCTCCGGTAGCCCACAGCTCCCTGGTAGTCTACAGCCCTCCGGTAGCCCACAGCTCCCTGGTAGCCCACAGCTAACCTATGGCCCACAGTCCCTTAGTAGTCGCTGGGAGTTCACCCACGCCACCCAGACATGATAAGCCTTGATGCAATGGACCGGACGATGCCTCGTTTCACTGAAGCGTCTGCCGTCATGCAAAACGAACCGTGGATAACACACTCGCCTAGAACGGCCATAATTCGGCTTCGCACATGATATAATTAATAGTATATAACAGATATAATAATTCGACAAGATTCGCACACGCAAGCGTTTTCATCAAACCACAGTGTTTGAAACATTCGGTTCTCAGCAGCTCTGATGGCTGTTTGTAGCGTTGACGTCCTGAGTGCATACAGATTCCGTCAGAGCCCAATCGAAATGCGTTAATATTTCACAAACAATAGGCCATACTGACGGCATAGTTACTGGCGACCACGCGATCCTTTGTCATAAAACATCTACGAAGGTCGCTGCGTGACAAGCGCACTCATGCCAAGATTGGAAGCGCTTTGACGCAGCCTTATGAACAGCTTCCACGTTCATTGTTAGCCACGCAGACCGTTTGGTGCCGTTGGTAAAAGCGTGCGCAGCGATGCTGGAAAGTGCGGAGAATTCCCCAACAATTCCAACGCTGTAGTCAGCTCTTAATACACCGAACGAGAAAATCCGATGAACGTGCTGGAAGCTCAATTCACCCCATTGCTAGCCGTCAGTGTCGCCATACCGGAGGAGCCGTGCCGCGCTCTGCAGGCGCCGCCTCTGGCGAGGCCTGCGCTGTCGGCCGCCGTGCGCCGGCCGTCGGCCAGCAGTCGTTGACTCCGTTACGGCCCCGTGTTGTGACCGAGGTATCGATGGCCAGCGGCGGTGGCGACGGCGGCGGCCGCCGCCGCCAGTCGGGGCGCGTGCCACGCGGCGGCGAGTCATGGCTGAGCTCACCACCCGCCTGCCGTCCATTGCAGCCGACGGCCGCGGCCTGTCCGGCCTCTGGCGCAGTACGGACAGCGGGAAGCTGCGCCAGCGCCATGTCCGGGTGAGTGAGACGCTGGAGAGCTGCGCCAGCGCCATGTCCGGGTGAGTGAGACGCTGGAGAGCTGCGCCAGCGCCATGTCCGGGTGAGTGAGACGCCGGAGAGCTGTGAGACCGGGGAGGTGTGAGCATGGGGGAGACCAGGGGACCTGGGGTGGGTCGGTGAGAAAAGCCAGCAGAGCTGTGTGTCGGCGAAGGGAAGAGCAGAGGAGGAGAGTTTATGGCGCTGTGTGTTGGTGAGGGAGACAAGTAGTGTCGAGATGCGTTGACAAGGGTAGACAAGTAGTGTCGAGATGTGTCGACAAGGGGAGACGAGTAGCGCCGAGATGTGTTGACAAGGGGAGACAGGTGGTGCCAAGATGTGTTGATGAGTGGGGGCAAGTGGTTCTGAAGTTTGTCAGTGAGGGGAGACAAGTGGTGTTGATATGCGTCGGCGAGGCGAGAACAGAGGCGTTCAGGTGTGTCGGTGAGGAGATCAGGGGTACTGAGAGGTGTCCGTGAAGGGAGGGCGATCAGACGACGGGAAACAATGAAGCTTTCCGTCTTAACACCTTGGCGGGGAAACATGCATTGTGCAGCTTGGCCCTTAGCACCAGGATGAATTTGTATAGTCCGACACACTTAGCGGCACTCTAATTACCAGTCTGACACCTGCGCCCGCCTAAACCGGGGTTTAGGCGCTTGGTTCGAGTCGGTCTGAAGCGACACGTGACCAGTTAGCCGAAAGCGTACCAGTTCGTGGAAGGCCGGTCTGCTGGCTTACCGCCACCTCGTTATCATGACCCGGTGTTTGATGTCGACTTACCTGGCGCCGGACAGAGGCCAAGCTGACTGAAGCTCCGACCAATTAGACGATGCAAACGCCGGTCTGAGGGGGTGGGGGGGGGGGGGCACCGGCACTGTGTCAGTCGCTGGAGCCGCGAGGGGCCGGCCGCCAGTGTGTCTCCTGGGGGTTGGCACGGTGAGTGAGACGTCACCAGGCCTGTGACCATGCCAGCGTATGGTTGGTGGCCCGGCCGGCACTTAAAGACGCGTGGGCGGCCACGGACATTCATATTTGTGGTGTCTATCCCAATGCCGTCATGTCAAACCCTGATTAAAGTGTCGGCCTTTGAGTGATATTTAGGCGATTGTATCGTTTGCTGAGTGGTTATCTGTCGTTCTCCACACTCTCCCTTACGTTGTCCACCCTCACTTCGTCCGGTTAGTAAGTCCCGCGACTCTGATCTCAAGTTATGCATATGCATAGTTGTTTTATGTGTATGCAGCGATTACTTCTGTTAGAATTCAGCCATTGATGCTCCTCCATTTGATTCTCGTTCAGTCTTTGGTAAACAGTCTGTGGTGGGCTTAAGCGTCTGGCAACAAGCCATATTGCAAGTGGCAAAGTGGTAATAATCGTTCTGTTGTAGTTGCATGGCCTGGTGTTGGCTTCTGTTGGATAGGGTGTTTCCCATCTACATCGTGACAGCTGGCGAGCGAGATTCCCACTCTAACAGCACCAGCAGCCCTTCGCCCCACGGAACACCGCTCCCGGGCCGTGTGGTCAGCAGTGACACCGTCTCACCGGCAGACGGCGGACTCATGGTCGTCGCAGGAGGGCGGGCCGCGGCCGACGTCGCCTGACGGCCGACGCAGCCCCTCTCTGCCGCCCATCACACCCGGCGCCAGCCCCGAGCAGGGCGAGACGTCCGGCTACTACAGCGACCCAGCCGAGCGCGCCTCCACGGAGCCCGGCCAGCCGGCGCTGCCGCTACACCTGGCCTCCGCCTCGTCGTCCACCGCCGCCGCCGCCGCGTCGGCCGGGCCGGTCAAGTCTGTCCGGTTTGGACGGGAGCAGGGCCAGCTGCGGCCGCCGCCGGCGCAGGTGCTGCGGATGGAGCCGAGTCCATCGCCCGTGCCCATCGCGCCGCCGCCCTCCCGGGACAGCGCCATGACCTGGAGGTACAGCCGGCGACGAGCTGGCGGCGGCAGGGTGGGCGCCAAGGGACGGACAGGGTCGGCCGGTTGGGTTGGACAGGTGGGACCAGACGTTTGTAAGGTTGGAGTTGTGGGTATGAAAACAACGTCTGGGAAAGTTACCTGAAAGCTTAAAATGACGATAAAGTGAATGGTGGGACAAAAACATCGTTTTCATGTATCATTCGAACATCTGTTTTATATTCAGAGCAGAGACAAATTTGGGCGTCAGAATGCAGCTCGGAGGGAGAGGCCACAGAAAAATTTATGAGCAATGCACTACTGGGGAAGGCATGGCAGCAAGACGACGACAAAGCTCGAGCTATGGCAGGAAGCCATGCACAACGCAACATCAGAATGCGGGCCTTACTGCCGAGTGTCGTGCCAACTGGCACATAGCGCGGCGGTGTGCTGCCTGAGCGCAGGCCATAGCCGTAAACGCCGAGTGTTGTCTGGGTAGCGGCGACAACACTGCCTGCACACCCACTTTGCCGGCCCTGCGTCACGGTTTGAACGCCCCGGCAATGACGCCAGGCAATGAGGCGGCGGCGGTTTGCTCGCAGGCTTAGTCCACCTGGTATTGATCCTCGAGCCAGCTGCCGCCGTATCCCAACGGCTGCGAACTAATCGCCCGGAGCACTTCGGACAGCTCACAAATCTTGTTTACGGAGAGAAATCGACCGCTCCAGCCTCGGCTGTCTGTTTGCAGCACTCATTTGAAAGGTGTTGTTACGTAGCTAGTGTCCATCTGGAGACTTCAGGTCCGGCGCCGAGCGCGAGCAGGATTTGCTGTCAGGTGATTCCGTATCGACCGTTCTGGTACCTGTGTTATGCGCAATTATTGATGCCTAGCAAAACTTTGGCCGACGCCACGCAGGCGGGATTTGGAATGTCCTTGATTGGCTCTTCGTCGTTCCAGGCTCGCACCAAACCTGACTGTTGCAGCTTACAGACAAAGATTTTGTGCTCGTCCAATCGGCCTCAACCTGACATGTCCCCATAACACTTCAAAGTTGCCTACCAGAGGCTGATCTTACTCTCAGACAACAGATGCATGCCTGCCATGTATTCCACTGAACCCAGAAACCGGACCAGGATGAGCTAACCTGACCTGACCTGACCCGCATGTGACAGCAGCACGCCCGCCAGGTGGCTCAGCTGACCCGGAAATTGTAAGATGACCTGACCTGACCCGCAGGCGACAGCAGCACGCCCGCCAGGTGGCTCGGCTGACCCGGGCGTTGTAAGATGACCTGACCTGACCTGACCCGCAGGCGACAGCAGCACGCCCGCCAGGTGGTTCAGCTGACCCGGGAATTGTAAGATGACCTGACCTGACCCGCAGGCGACAGCAGCACGCCCGCCAGGTGGTTCAGCTGACCCGGGAATTGTAAGATGACCTGACCTGACCCGCAGGCGACAGCAGCATGCCCGCCAGGTGGCTCAGCTGACCCGGGAGTCGGAGCTACGCCGACGAGCGCAGACAGCCGACAGGATGAAGTGGGGCGACAGGGGAGTGGGCATCACCAGGCTCTGGGACCCCACCGCCGCCAGCGCCCACCTGCCTGACGTCTGCGCCGGCAAACAGGTAGTTCGGCCAGACCTAAGCTCTGGCGCATAGCGGAGCTCTTTCCCGACTCCGTGTGCACCGGGAGATGTATTTTCGGGCATCAGCATATTGTCTGTATCGCAGTTTTCACACCCTCCTTTCTCGTTGTGCTCGTTCTTGTGATGGGCGCGTTTGAGACGGTCACTGCATTTCTTGGCCTCCATAAAGGCGCGTCGCGTTCCTTGTATAAAAAAACTAAAATAAGGATTGCTGTTAAAAAGCCCTCAGCCCTCAGTAGCACATGGAACATTAGAGAACATCATCAAGCATGTTTTGTTTTATTCGATCACTACATCCAGATCGAGTGCACGTTCACTACTGCCCCAATATTTGGACCTAAGAGAGTTCGGCCTGGCTATTTCAGGTCAATTAGCCAAATAAATCACATGACATCCTCCTGCTACAGACCCCAATCCTCTGCGCACAGGATCGGCTTGCAGGCGAGGCAGCTGAGCTTCCTGACCCGCGATGTCCACACCCTCCCCTCCCCACGCCCGCCCCCTCCCCAGAGAGGTGACCCCGATTCGGGGCGGTGCCCTGCCGTGCTGTTTCCGCCGATGTCACGGTCCTGGTTCGATGTCCGGCAAATAGACGATTACTGGCGGCCGTGACGGCGCAGGCGGGGCCGACACCGTCACGGCAGTGGACCCCGCCCCCCTCGCCCTCCGTGGCACGCGATCTCGTGCCGGGTCGAGCGCCGGGGTCGTTAGTAGCCGTCACACCCGTACGATCACTCCACGGGGGGTGATCGGTCGGCGGCCGACCCGCCCGCAGGGCAGGGTGTCCCCTGGTGCGTCTGGGGGTGGGACCCGGCCTTGGGAGACCGGGGGGTACTGTGCCGGCGGCCGACCCGCCTGCAGGGCAGGGTGTCCCCTGGTGCGTCTGGGGGTCGGACCCGGCCTTGGGAGACGACCGCGGGGTACTGTGCCGGCGGCCGACCCGCCTGCAGGGCAGGGTATCCCCTGGTGCGTCTGGGGGTGGGACCCGGCCTTAGGAGACCGGGGGGTACTGTGCCGGCGGCCGACCCGCCCGCAGGGCAGGGTGTCCCCTGGTGCGTCTGGGGGTGGGACCCGGCCTTAGGAGACCGCGGGGTACTGTGCCGGCGGCCGACCCGCCTGCAGGGCAGGGTGTCCCCTGCTGCGTCTGGGGGTGGGACCCGGCCTTAGGAGACCGCGGGGTACTGTGCCGGCGGCCGACCCGCCTGCAGGCAGGGTGTCCCCTGCTGCGTCTGGGGGTGGGACCCGGCCTTAGGAGACCGCGGGGTACTGTGCCGGCGGCCGACCCGCTCGCAGGGCAGGGTGTCCCCTGCTGCGTCTGGGGGTGGGACCCGGCCTTAGGAGACCGCGGGGTACTGTGCCGGCGGCCGACCCGCCTGCAGGGCAGGGTATCCCCTGGTGCGTCTGGGGTGGGACCCGGCCTTGGGAGACCGCGGGGTACTGTGCCGGCGGCCGACCCGCCTGCAGGGCAGGGTGTCCCCTGCTGCGTCTGGGGGTGGGGACCCGGCCTTAGGAGACCGCGGGGTACTGTACCGGCGGCCGACCCGCCTGCAGGGCAGGGTGTCCCCTGCTGCGTCTGGGGGTCGGACCCGGCCTTAGGAGACCGCGGGGTACTGTGCCGGCGGCCGACCCACCCGCAGGGCAGGGTGTCCCCTGCTGCGTCTGGGGGTCGGACCCGGCCTTAGGAGACCGGGGGGTACTGTGCCGGCGACTGACCCGCCTGCAGGGCAGGGTGTCCCCTGCTGCGTCTGGGGGTCGGACCCGGCCTTAGGAGACCGCGGGGTACTGTGCCGGCGGCCGACCCGCCTGCAGGGCAGGGTGTCCCCTGCTGCGTCTGGGGGTCGGACCCGGCCTTGGGAGACGACCGCGGGGTACTGTCCGGGTGGCGCAGCGGGGATATATAAGACACTTACTGCGGAGCCGATGCATTAGCAGCCATCATGAGCCAGCAGTAAACGTCAGCTTTGACTCGTAGTGGGGATCTACGTGGTGCGGCTCTGACATGGCTGAACTTGATCCGTGTAGCTGCCGACATTCCAGACTAGCTGTGGTCAGTTGATGCCGAACCACGTCCTACTCGTCACACTCCCTATGCTCACCTGTCATGCTTGCAGAATATTCCCGAACTGTCTGCTTAGCAGTCCGTGCGGCAGGCTGTCGCTAAGTTTTACCAGACTGGAAGGCCAAGCAGTTTCTTAATTTGCCACTTAGTGAGGGGTCAGAAGTCTGGGTGAGCTTCGGGAATGTATTCCGAACCGTGCTTAGTACTATCGGAAAGTTTTCTGCCGTGATGAGTCATCAACCTAATATATCGTGGGATAACAAATATTCGGCGCCAAGTCCAACCACTGAGTTAAATCAACGTTCGCCAGGCTGTATTTCCCCACATCCAACAAATGACCAGTTCTTTTCGCGTCTTGGAATTCAAGCAATGCAGCTTGAATTCTTCAAACTCGGCTTGACTGTTTGCATCTGTTAATACCGGCCTCGCCACATTTCGTCGCAATAATGATCAGTTCAGATCAAGAATCACGTGTTAATTCAACCGAAACTGTTCAATCAATGTGATTTGTTACGTACATCTATGACGGATAGTTTAGTAAAATTGTCACATTTCCAAACCTGTCTGTTTTCCGCGTCACGTGCCACATACAAGTGCTACAGGGGCACGTCTAGTAAGGTTTCAAGTCAAATCATTTACAATCGTGCGACTTTTGTTTGATTGGCACGTGATCCGGCAAGACAGAGAGACATTTCTCGTACGGCGACCTCGTTTGGCCGGATGTGACCTTGATCTGGTGTTACCTTGAACCTGAGTGACCTTAACATGTGTTAATGTCACTGGGTCTGAGTATAAATGAGATGAGACGCCTTCATAAGAGTATAAGTCGGCCAGCTGCAAGAGTGTGCTCACTTGCCTGGTGCTTGTTACAAAGGTATATAAACGATGCTAGGGATCCTGGTGGGACTAAAAATATTTTGAGGATTTCTGTGATTTATAAAGTATTTTGCATGGCTTGCGGCGTCATCAGTCAGGTGTCAGATGTCAATTAAACGCTTTGCAGATAAGTGTCGCCAGGACTAGTGAGCGCCGTCTGAACTTTTCCCATGCGATAATTACATCCTGAAATACCGGGAAGGTAGGCGGGTAGTTATTTCCCTTGCCGTCGAATGCGAGTGCCTTGGTGATCCGGGTGAGTGGACCGACTTCACAGTTCTGTCCTGCTCCGTTCTGTCTGAAGAACAATAGTTCTTCCTGATCTCAGCGTAGTATGCAGTCAAATGACCGGTAACTTAAATCTATGATTTAAGGGGCGCTTAGGCTTCATTACACCACTCTGATATAGGGTCTCTGGGCTGGCAGTGTTAGAAGCCACATGCTCCAAAGTATCGTCTTTGACACGCTGCCTGCACACACCATGACTTAAGTGGTCAGTGCTCTAAGATCTGAGCTGCCTACGCGCACAGCATGATGGACTCGGGGTCTTCTGAGCCACGGGAGCCATGACCCGGAGTTTGGGGCTTTAGTGGACAGAGGTGTCTTGACACAACGAATTAAACCGTGACCCTTTTAACTTCCTAAGTGTGAGGTGCACATGTAATTCAGCTGACTGTATTTTCGGCAGCCATTTGGAGGCTGATGCCGGTGCAATTATGGCCTCGATTTTGGCTCCATGCCAACGCCGGTCGCATTGCTTTGGCACTAGTTGATACAAAGAAGGAACCAGCCAAGCAAAATAACTTTCAGTAAATATGTTTTTAAGGTACGCCACATTAACTTCACACTGTACAATACAAACCTATATAGATCGCAGCCTGTTTAAACTGAACCGGTCGCATTCGGCTGTAAGCCTCGTTCTAAAGCGTGTCATCTGTTGTCTCTTTAGGAAGCCGTGCGTAGGCGGATCCTGGAGGGGGGGGGGGGCACGGGGCCATGCCCCCCCCCCCAAAATCTGACAGTATGTTCCCCCCCCCCAAACGGTCCCAGAGCTTCATAAAGGTTTCGTCGACTTATCGTCTGTTTTAGCTTTGATGGTGCGGTATCAAACATTTCTTTCTGTTTCGGAAAAACTTCGTGAAGAAAAGTTGGCAGCGATTTAAATATAAAAACAAAACGCATGTTGACGCGGCTTGGTCGTACTCGGCGCAAACATCGTGTTTGATAAGTGCACTGAACCTCGGATCCCACGCCAGCCAGCTGGCGACGAACGGTTGCCCCCTCCCCCCCCCCCCCCCCCCCAAAAAAAACAACTTCAGGCTAGATCCGCCCCTGGAGCCGTGTCAGGTCCCGTGCTATTCTGTTTCGTCCCTCGCCTTGGTCAGATCTCTAATCGCACTCTATTGCCTCGTCCCGCAACTTGTTCGGTGTATGTGACCTGACCTAATCTTGTGTGTAATAATCAATGACGTTTCCGAGACTCTTGATTGACCGTTCCGGTGCGCTTTCTTTGTCTCATGTTTTCAAGGGCGGATCAAGGAAGGGGCCACACTTCGTTGTAATGCCTCCTGGAACTTGGTAACCCCCCCCCCCCCCCACACACACACACACAAAGAAGCTCCTGGATTTGGGCCACTTTCAGCTCAGACTCGCATTTTTCAAGTGGTTAAATATCTTTTGACGGAGCGGTCCCCCGCAGTTAGTTCACATCATTGCAGGTCAATTGTGTACTTATTATGTTGAGCTTGAATAGTTGGAGCCATTAATACTGCTCCAGAACGTTAGTGCTTCTTAAGAATATAGGTCATGTGGACTCAAAATAAGGCTTTTGGTGCCCCTTGACCGCGGGGTTTTGGTGCCCCTTCGGCCCAAAGGGGGGGGGGGCATGGTCTCCCTCCTAAATACGCCATTACCTATTTCCCGCTCCTCGTCGGACCATATCATGGTGGATTGGATGGCACGGCTGGCAGAACGGTTGTCAGACCCTGGCTGGCAACCCGTCCGATCAGCCGGAGCTGTCTCCGACCGTTCTTTGACATATCCTCGCCGCGCGTGGCCGTTCACCACAGTCTACCCCCGTGCCCCCCCCCCCCCCCCCTCCCCCGGAGCGGCCCGTGCCCTGACCGCCCGTCACCGCTCTCCAGTTCGACGCGCCGCGCTGGGTGGAGCGGGCCAGCGAGGGCAGCACAGTCGAGGTGGACGACCGCTCGCCGAGCGCCGGCGCCGGCTCTAATCCCACCTCGCCCGGACGCATCGGCAACCCCCTGTTCCAGCTGCCGGTGCCGCGGAGGCTGCAGGCCAGGTGAGCAGGCGGTGACGACGGGAAGGAGCGCCGACCGCTCGCATGGTCAGGCTGGTCTGACGCGTTCGACATGTGGGAATGCTGCAGTTTAGGCAGATCGGCAGGCGCGGCTCCAGTTAGAAGGCTCTCGCAGTCGAGACGCTTTGACAAGAGTCCTACAACAACGGTCGGTTTTCAAGACTTATTTTGAACGCGGAAGTGAGTGACGAGTGTGAGAGGGGACCTGATAGGTGTTTTTAGTTCCCTTCCTCATGTACCACCATTGCCATCCCTTCCTCATGCAGCGGTTCCCTCCCTCAAGCACCGCCAACACCACAGCACAGTTCTAAACAGCTTAAGAGCTCCCCCCCCCCCCCCCCCTGTGCCGGGGTCACGTGATGTTGCATCTCGCCGCACCAAACAGTGCCCGTTATTCCCACAGTCTAGTGGCGTGCGTGACGTGCGTCAAAATCGATACGAAGCAGCAGGCTCGATAGGCAGAGCCCCAGCCGATTCCGCCCGTTGCTGAGGCCCCGGTGCGTCAGAGCGGTTGTCATAGAAACTAGTCAGCCGACATCAAGAAAGCTGATTAGAAGCATTGTCCTGACGCCAGCGGCATCGCGCTCTATTTCCTGGACACGGCGGGGGGGGGGGGGGGGGAGGCTGAGAGGTGCGGGTATTGTGTGTCGTGTGTACTCTGAGAAAGCATTGCTCCAGAGAGCATTGACAATGAAGCAAGAAATACTGCATGGAGCCGAGTGGCGTTGAGAGTCGGCACTAAAGCGAATCTTGGAGTCAACGATAGTCGCTTGCATGGAGGCCGTCTGTGGGTTGGTCACGAAGCCAGCGGCGGAGCCAAAGTGCCCTGATTGACTCATGTATGGGACGGGGAAGGACGTCGGTGACTGAGAAGGATGACGCTCAGCTGCTTACATTTCGCGAGTCGTCATCATGGAATAAAGGTTATCTGTCATAACATTGCTGTAACGTACGCATGAAACGCATATTCCTTTATGCGTGGAGTCTGCCTGTGTGGAGGTTTCCGCATCAATTGTTGCATCACACTGGATGTTGCGCTTTTGCTGAGTTTTGACTCCACCTCATCACGACCCACGTGCGCCAGCTGACCTGACCGCTGCTCGCCGTCACGTGCCGCGTCACCTCCTGAGTCTGCCGGCGCGGTGAGGCCGGACTCCGACGCTGCCTCTGAAGGCGATGGTGGTGGTGCGTTACAGACGGGTGGCGCCGTCTCACTCCGGCTCGGCGGTGCCAGCAGTACCGGCCAAGACCCCTCCCGCCGCCCAGCTCAACGACACGGACCGACGCCGCCAGATCGCGCTGCAGAACCTCAGAGACAACCAGAAGCAGGTGAGCTCCCGGAGACCCGTGGAGGCAAGTGGTGGCTCAAGGACAACCAGAAACAAGGGGAGGTTCAGGGATGAGCAGGAGCGGATCAGGGCACGGACAACTAGAAACCAGGGATGGTTCAGGGATGAGCAGAAGTGGATCAGGGCACGGGGACAACCAGAAACAAGGGGTGGTTCAGAAATCACCAGAACCGTGCCATGCTTCAGGGAGCAGCAAGAAGCAGACAGGTGATGGCAGCCCCTTAGGGGAAAACGAAAACTGGCGAGGGTGGCACAGCAGGAACAGATATAGGTAATCAGACGGATGCAGATAGCAGTTCGCCATGGACGGCGCCCGCTGTGTCACACTTATACTTTTGATAGCGCTTTCAGCGCTAGTTTTTCACCTGTCAGTGACTTGGCGGCTGGCTTATCGACTCAACAAGACGCTCGGTTAGCTCGAGGAGTGCATTAGCACAGGCTGCTTATTACGCCTTTGTTCTGCTGAAATGGCCACTTGATGGAAACGAGGTGTGACAAGGAGTTGAGGGCGATGGTCAGGAGGACTGTGATAGTAATAAACGCGCAATGCACTGACAAAACGCGACGAAAAATGTCAGTTTTGCTAATGATATTACTTATTCTGTTAACCCCGTTGCATCTCATAATAATCATAAAAGTCGTCATTATCGTATATGCTTATGTCCTCCGCAAAAGCGGCTTTCAGGACAGGCGTTGCATTTATACATGATTGCAATCATACCTGTAGAAATTGAAGGCATACGGTAATAAATGTGGAGGTCAAAACACACCGGCGACACAAACTATTTCTGACTCGAAAATATCATACCCTTTACCTTCAGTGGTTCGCTGTCAACCACTATGTCATCTGGGTACGAAATACCAGCACAGTGCCAGCGTCTGGTACTTCGCCCACCGCTTCATCCACTCGTCAGAGGCACGGAATCTAGAACACAGACGGGCATCCCCGGTACGGACGCGGGATAGGTGCGGCAGTCCTGCCAGTGAACCTCGGGTTTCTCCCGTGCACGCGTTCTCGCGGTGCGACAGTAGGTCTTTCAGACAAGCCGGTGCATGCGTATCGTGCAGAAGACAGTGGACCATAGCGAGGTCCCGCTCGACGGCAAGGTTGCCTGCGTTGAGCCATTTCAGTGCACCCAAGATCGGGGTTATGCGAACCTGACAACGGTTATATTTGATAATCCTGGTGCTGTGGTTAACTATCCACAACGTCAAGGCCGGTGTACTTGCGATCGAAAGTAACACTCAATAGTGTGATACAGCTTGCACGCAAATAAGCCTAATAAATACCAGGCTGTACTCGTGATAACGTAACTTCTTGGTCTGCCGTGTCGTGACATTGTCATAGACCTTTCAGAATTCAGAGCCTTGGCTGGTTACATGGCCAGCTTAAATATTCTATACCCAGTGTCGTAGTTACAGCAATATTAAAATATTTTGCGTTCAGACAAGAGCATCACATAGTTCTCGTTTCATTACTTGGCTGACATTTCAACAACCTCACAGCGAACTGTCTCGGAGCTCTCCGGGTTTAAAGCCCCTGCCCCGCCCACCCACACCGCGTGGGACACATGTGTCGTAGCCGGTTCCGATCCTCGGCCTCGACCTCCGCCGCCACTCGAGCTTCCCCGCCTTCTCCGGGCGGGCGAGTACAAACTGCCCGTGGCGAGCCGGCGCCTAGTCCGACGTCTGCCGCACACTGCGTCACTCGCGACGTCTGCGGTGGACTGCCGTGACGTCCTTCCAACTTGGTCCGACGGCTCGCCACGGTAGTGATCCGCCCACGAGCACGGCCCGAGCCGCGGCGGCCCTAGTACCGCCGCCTGTCACGCGGGGTCATTGACCACGGGCCGTGTCCGCCCCGGACGCGCGGGCGTCGGGCGGGTATAGTCGGCTGGGAGGGCCGACAAAACAGTTCGGCACCCGAGGGAAATGTGCGTGCGTGCGTGCGTGCGTGCGTGTGCGTGTGCGTGTGCGTGTGCGTGTGCGTGTGCGTGTGCGTGCGTGTGTGTGTGTGTGTGTGTGTGTGTGTGTGTGTGTGTGTGTGTGTGTGTGTGTGTGTGTGTGTGTGTGTGTGTGTCTGTGTGCTCGCTGGCACGTTGCGCGCTGCCTGGAAATGGATGGATGAATGACACGGCCGATGTCAATGAATCCGAGCGGAACCAATGGTGTTATAATCGGGGTTCCAAGCCTCGGTCGACAAATGCCGAGCTGCGGGGGCACGCACATTTACCGTAGCAGCTCGCCGAAGCCGGCGGAGTGGTGTTTTGGTGTCCGCCTTACGGACGCAACGGACACCGCGACACTGGATGATCCTTTTGAAATGGCCTTCTCATTGAGTTTGCTTTACTAAGCAGACGAATCGCCCAAGCGGACTCCCATGAATGCGTGCACATGCACACCACAGACGGGCGTTATTGATTTATCGGCGGTAGGTGGCGTTGACCCCTTTTGAGCGCACACGGAATGTTTCAGCGGGCAGTGCTGCCTGACGTATAATCACAGGTGGCATGCCCAGCTGGCCGCGGCCGCTTACTGACCCTCTGGCCCGGCAACGTTCCCGAAGCATAATAACCTTGCAACATACTTAGAATTCACTAACGCAAGACTAACAGCATTTGCGCTTTACTTGCGGTTCGGAGATCAAACCACGATGATAGCAAAATGCATTATATAAAAACATGGCGTTATTTAACGGTTTGCAGTGACAGAACCTCGTTCTCAGTTAGATATCGTGGACATTCTAGATCGCTTCGCCTAGGTCTCCAGGTTAAGACCCTCCGACCTTCCCTTCATCACCCGCCCTGTTTCCACCAGACGGCGGAGAAGGAGAGGCGCCAGAAAGAGGAGCGCGAGCGGGTGGCGCGCGAGGAGGCCGCGCTCGACGAGCACATCCGACGCGAGAGCGAGCGCGAGCGTCAGAGCGCCGAGCGCGAGCGGCTGGCGACGGCCGAGCGGCGCCGCGCCGCCGAGCGCCGCCAGGAGCTCGTCACGCAGGCCATCCGCCAGGCGGAGGAGCAGGCGGCCGCCGAGAAGCGGCGCAGGCTGCGCGGCAGCCAGCCAGAGACGGCGACGTCTGGCACGGCGGCCGCCTCACCGGAGGTGGCCGCTGCGCCGCGCCGCCTGCCGAGCAAGCCGAGCGGCTCGAGCAGCGGCGAGAGCGAGCCCGGCGCCGGCCGCCAGGGCCGGCCGCGGCTGAGTCCCTGCGCGCGCGCCAGCCGTCCGAGCCCGGCGCCGGCGCGGCGCAGCTCGGCTCCGGCCGCGAGCCGCTGCCCGGCCTGGGCGGCGCGCGCTCCTACGTGGAGAACCGCGTGCTCACTCCGACCAAGTACCGCTGGGAGAGGGGCGCCACCGGCGTCGGCTGCGAGTTCGGCACGCAGACGGAGCCCGGCCGCCAGGAGGCGCCGGCAGAACTGGTGGAGAGGAGACACGTCAATGTCGGCACGGACGGGCCACCCGAGCGGCGCCGCACCAGCCGGCAGCGCACCAAAACACGCGGCCGGCCGGTCAAGCTGGAGGAGCGGCCCCGCTGGAACGCGCCGCAGGTGAGCAGTGGCGCCCCTTGACAGATTGCGGTACATTCGCTCCCCTTGAGTGTCAGGTAACTGTCATCTGGCGCTCTTCAGCGGAAAAATGCCTTTCAGTGTGTGACAGTGGACAGCGCTATTGCGGTGCGGTAACTGCTTTCGATGCAGTCGCTCGTGACGTGGTGACGCTGCCTTCGTTGTTTGGCAACCAAATGGCATGGAGCGGCACGACCACCCATTGTCCATGTCAGTAGAATTAGATCCTGCCAGATTCTCTTCATACAGCAGGAAAGATATCTGCCACAAATCCCTTGCCGAAACGATGCCCAATCTTTGATGACGTCTCTCCCCGCCGATTTGGGTTTTGACCGAGCCGCGGCCGGCAGCCGGAGAAGGTGTACCTGAAGCAGTCGGAGAAGGACCTGCTGGTGGCCCGCGGTCCACGACGGCGGCGCGAGAGCCAGCTGCACCGCGACGCCGAGTCCGGCTCTGACTCGGACACACTGCAGGACTGGCCGACAGGGTCGCGCAACGGCCGAAGACGCCACCGGCACTCCGACATTAGCAGGTAAGACGCCACCGACACTCCGACATTAGCAGGTAAGACGCCACCAACACTCCGACATTAGCAGGTAAGACGCCACCGACACTCCGAAATTAGCAGGTAAGACGTCACCGACACTCCGACATTAGTAGTGGATAATTCTCCGCGAAGTCCGTCCATGACTGTCCCCATGATGAGCCCGGTTCTCGCCGCAGTCTCCGGTACCCCTGTCTGTTACCGGGGGCAGCCTGACCCTCAGTTGAGACCTCCGGTATCCCTGTCTGTTACCGGGGGCAGCCTGATCCTCAGTTGAGACCTCCGGTATCCCTGTCTGTTACCGGGAGCAGCCTGACCCTCAGTTGAGACCTCCGGTGTCCGTGCGTCCCCAGGAGCAGCCTGACCCTCAATTGAGACCTCCGGTATCCCTGTCTGTTACCGGGGGCAGCCTGACCCTCAGTTGAGACCTCCGGTACCCCTGTCTGTTACCGGGAGCAGCCTGACCCTCAGTTGAGACCTCCGGTGTCCGTGCGTCCCCAGGAGCAGCCTGACCCTCAGTTGAGACCTCCGGTGTCCGTGCGTCCCGGGAGCAGCCTGACCCTCCAGTTGAGACCTCCGGTGTCCGTGCGTCCCCAGGAGCAGCCTGACCCCTCAATTGAGACCTCCGGTGTCCCTGTCTGTTACCGGGGGCAGCCTGACCCTCAGTTGAGACCTCCGGTATCCCTGTCTGTTACCGGGGGCAGCCTGATCCTCAGTTGAGACCTCCGGTATCCCTGTCTGTTACCGGGAGCAGCCTGACCCTCAGTTGAGACTTCCGGTATCCCTGTCTGTTACCGGGAGCAGCCTGACCCTCAGTTGAGACCTCCGGTGTCCGTGCGTCCCCAGGAGCAGCCTGACCCTCAGTTGAGACCTCCGGTGTCCGTGCGTCCCCAGGAGCAGCCTGACCCTCAGTTGAGACCTCCGGTGTCCGTGCGTCCCAGGAGCAGCCTGACCCTCAATTGAGACCTCCGGTATCCCTGTCTGTTACCGGGGGCAGCCTGACCCTCAGTTGAGACCTCCGGTATCCCTGTCTGTTACCGGGGGCAGCCTGACCCTCAGTTGAGACCTCCGGTATCCCTGTCTGTTACCGGGAGCAGCCTGACCCTCAGTTGAGACCTCCGGTGTCCGTGCGTCCCCAGGAGCAGCCTGACCCTCAGTTGAGACCTCCGGTGTCCGTGCGTCCCCAGGAGCAGCCTGACCCTCAGTTGAGACCTCCGGTGTCCGTGCGTCCCCAGGAGCAGCCTGACCCTCAGTTGAGACCTCCGGTGTCCGTGCGTTCCCAGGAGCAGCCTGACACTCTCGGACAGGCAGCGGAGCCGCGCGCCACCGCGCTACCGCAGCCACTCGCCGCTGAAGTCGCGCGTCTCCGCCTACTACGCCGCCTCCTCCGACGGCAAGCTCTCGTCGTCGTCGTCGTCGCGGCAGCCGGGTCGCTCGCTGGGCGCGTCGGTACCACTCGTCACGGCCAGTGATGTGCTCTACCTGCCCGAGTTCGGCAACGTGGCGCTAGTGCCACTCAGCCAGCCCCACCTGGCCTACCTGCGGCACGCGCAGAGCCTGCCGCTTCTGGCCGCCGCCGCCGCCGGCGTCGACATTCCCGTCTACCCGCCCGTCAGCACGGAGAAGGCGCTAATGGACATCGGCTCGCGAGTCGTCAGCGCCAGCAGCCGCGACGCGGCCGACTCGCGAAACACTGACCGCGCCGAGGCGCCGGCAGGTAGCAGCAGTGTCGATGGCGCGCCGCGGCGCTCACGACGCGACAACGGCACGGACAAGGAGGACGAGGAGCCACCACTGCTGTACCGCGAGCCGGCGGCCGGCAGCGAGCAGGAGCCGGCGCAGGAGGAGACGGGCTCCGAGCAGTCGTCCGGCTCCGGCGAGCGCTCCGAGCAGCAGGAGACCGCTGGCACCGGCAAAGGTAGGTGGACAGACGGTCAGGGCGTCAGCTGACCGACATGCGCTTGACCCCGCCAGCGTTTAGTATCGGGCATTTTTCAGCAAGATCGGAAAATCGTAACGTGTCAGCAACTAAAAAAGAAACTAGAAGAAATGTTGTTGTCAATATGATCCCGAGCACCAACGTGCTGCAAAAATACGTCAAATCCGAAAAAAACGTAGCAAGCCGAGTACATTAAGTTTATGGACTCTGACAACATCGGGTGCTTGCACGGAGGTAGCCAGTCGTGCCAAAATATCCACCCTTGCCTTGGATGTGAAGCGATCTGTATTCTCCGGTCGGCGAAATGCATAGCATTGTTAACACCATGAAGATTCCGAACACATATGACATCGCTTAGCAACTGCATGGCCGCATAGACTATTTTAGACGGTCTGTTCTTTTGCGGGAAGCCATCAAAACGTCCAAAATTGCAGCGTCCGGCACTCACACTGTCCAAGATTGCAACACCCAACGTTCAAAACGTTCAGCATGCGTCCAATTCCGTGCCTATTTGGGGCATTTATAATGCCCAGGCGCGCAACGTCCAGAGTGGCAAAGTCCAGGGTCGTTAAGTCCAATGTCCAAAACGTCCAGCATCCCCAACACCTAGGCTAGTTTGAGTTCCTGCCCCTAGGTAACACTACAGAGGGATTTTTGGCCCCTGCCGCTCTTTCCCCCTTTCGCCATCAGATGGCACAGTCAACCTGACATTCCGCCGAGTTGACGCCTGGCGGCCGCGCCCAGCCTGGACGCGGCCGCGCTCCGGGGCTCACTAGCGGACTGGGCGCAGGCGCGCCGGGCGACGCGGGCTCGGCGGGGGCTGCTGTACCCACAGGGCAGGCGGTCTCTCCCGCCCCACTGCTGCTGCCGGGGCCCCATATGCCGGGGTACACGCTGTTGCTCAGGGGCCCTTCATATTGGTATCGGCTTTTTTCATTTGCTTGGAGGACTCCGTGCTGTTGCTGAGACCCATATAAGATAACGCACCAAGGCACTCAATGCTCAGGAACCTTTTTCATTGATCTGTGGCTCTTTCCCTTTTGAGCTTATTTGCTGAGCACTCTTCACTTGTCAGAGTCATCTCTGTTAACCTGCCCGGGTGCTCTTGATCACACAGGGGCGTTACTTCATGTACATCGGTCGTCGGTTATCGCATGTTTTCAACTCGCGTTTTGGTTCGATTAATTTGTGTCAGCTTGTTGACACCAGACAGTTAACAACACACAAGTCAAAACCTTTCAAATCACTTTGAATTGCTTATTCTGATTGTCATGGTTAGCCTCTGTCAAGGGCAATGGTGAGTATGTTCCACAAAACAATCTCTCTCCCCCAAACATAACATTTCTTATAGATGGCCACAAGGCCAGTTTTGCTGCTTGTTATTTAAGCTGCAACAGGGGCGCCCATTAAGGTTTGCGACGAAGTGATGCAGTATCCTAACCCCTGGACCTCACACACGCTGGGCGTTTTCAACCCGCGATGCTGCGGTCCTAGACGCTGCGCGCCTGGGCTTTCTGATTCCCCTCTGTCCAGGGACATTGGACGGTTTCTGGATGTTGCGAACACTGGATGCAGCGATTCTGGACGCTTTGACTAATGGGTGTTATGAGTTCTAGACGTTTTAATACGCATTCCGGTCTGCTTATAAATCCTAAGCATATTGTCTGCTCTCGCCACATTCAGACCCTGCCGAGTCGATTTGGCTCTTGCTCCGGCAAGATCGCAGTGCCAAACAGCGGCAGCGATTTAGTCGCGGTAGGTCTGATGATCGCTATCTTTTCGGGTAGTGCGCTTTCCTAACGCACACTCAAAGCGCAGCGTGCACGCCAGCGCACAACCCATCCAACGCTGCGGCGCAGTGCCACATTTTATCCCTGCCTGGCTTGGTGTCGGGGGAGCCCGGCTGTCATCACAGCTCGCTGACCACAGACCGTTTTCTGCGTTCCAGACAGCCAGGCGCTCCGCACTAGTCCCCTGGCCGATGCCGAGTGACTCCGGACGGCCGCGCCTCTGGCCTGTTTCAGATTCGGACCAATCAGAGGAATCGCAACTGGTGAGCGAGGCATCTAGCGACGCTGTCAGTAAACACAGCTTGCAAACAGCGTCCACCAGGGATGTCAGCAAGTCCGCGAACAAGGATGGGGTGCTGAAACAACTGTCGAAATTAAAAAGGGTGCGTGCTATAAATCGTTCGTATGCGTTCACCTGCATTGTGCGTAGTGTATTTTAGTTCAAGAAGTAGCAGTAGCGCCGGAACGTTGCAAAGAGGTGGCCGGTGATAAGGCACCTTCAGTCCTCCAGCAGCCCGGCCGACGAAGCTTGCCCTCAGCCGCACCCCGTAGACTCGTTGCATACGTTTTTCTTCAATACTAGAGAGCACGTGACCGATAGAACATATCGTTTCTCCCCCCCCCCCCCTAACGTAGCCCAGAATTCCACACCGTAGTTGGTCCTGCCACGGTTGCACAGCAGCTGAGCTATCGGTGTTGTCCGTGGCCGTTGGCAGCGCCGTGCCGTGCTGAACAGCCGTGTCCTCGCTGTCGGCAGCTGCTGCTGGGCCGGCGGCCGGCGCGGCTGACGGCCGCTCTGCCGGCAGGGCCTCCTCCGGAGCCGCCGCCACTGGCAGCAGGAGCAGCAGCCGGAGTCGGAACCGTGCTAGAGCGGCGCGCGGCGGCGGCTCGCTCGCTCGCGGCTCGTGAGCGCCGCTGAGGTCGCCGCCGCCGCCTCGAGAGACGCGGGCTCGAGGCCCACACCCCGGATCCGGGCACCGGGAAAGGCACTCGGCGCAGCCCGGGGCTAGCCCAGAGGACACGCGCTCCAGGAGGAATCGCAGCACCCGACACCCAGTTCAGAGGACGCCAGAGTACCCGGCGCCGTGACCAGAGGACGCCAGAGAACCCCGCCGCCCAGCGCTGTGGCTCTGGACCAAACCACACCGCGCCATACGCCGCCACGCCGCCCACACGGCCTGCCAGCTGACCAATGTCGTGCCGCGCGGGCGGAGCGGCGAATCGGGTCGGGCGGCCCGGCTGCTGTGAAGTGAGCTGTCCAAGTTACGCGCCGCGCGAGATTTTGTACCGGTGCAATGCAGGTGCAATATTAGTGCTGTGGCCTGTTGTATGTGCATTGTTATATCGTCTGGCGCGTTCGAAGTGAGCGTAGAAGACAATGAGCTGAGACATAAACACATGAAGTTGATGCTCCGCAGTTTTAATAAAGCGTGTGGGGGAGGCCACGACAGCCACATCGCCCTCAACAGCAAGACCATTGGACGCTCTCGCCACCGCTGGTAGCTCCGTCTTCGCGGCGCTATTCAAACTCAAGCGACGATGCGCCCAAAGACTTCACGACTCGAGTGCCTGCTTTCGTCCCAGACCCACGTGAGATTCGTGATTGTGAGCGCTGGACCTCCAGGGAAAGTCCGGGCCAGGGATCCTACCATTGCGCCTGGCAACATCAATATATTCGCACGCAGTTGTCATGAGCCTACATTATTCACAGGTGATCATATCTCAATTGTTTCTAGCTGATACATGAAGGCCGTGATCCCCAAAACATGAACCGTGCAGAAACAACAGTTATTTCTTTTTGCCGTCCTTTTCTTTTTTCTTCTTTATGTGCTTTTTCACCTTCACTTTCCGTTTTTCTGCCTTCTCTTCCCTGACAGCCTTCTTCCGCTCCTGAAAAGACCGGAACAATGTCTGACCAACGTGCGCTCATCAGTGCCAATTCGTTTTATTGATCAATGTAACGCTTCAGTCGTGTAAGAAACGCGGCCTCGAGAAGCATGGACCGAGGACGTTCAACAAGGCCGTGGCTGGTCTTCAATCCGTCAGCCGCCGCTCTCACTGGGCCACCGGCGGCGTATGATCCCTGCAAGGCTTACGCTGGGTCGAACCTGGTAGAGTTTAAACAATGCGTGGGGTACGTTGGGTCAAGCCTGGTGGAGCTTGAACCATGCATGGGCTGGGTTGGGTCGAGCCAGGTGGAGTTTGGGCCACGCATGGGTTAGGTTGGGTCGAGCCTGGTGGAGTTTGAGCCACGCATGGGTTAGGTTGGGTCGAGCTTGAGCTCATCACAGCGACAGGCTTTTGCTCGAATGCCAGGGGAGTCACAATAAACTGAAGAGTTAATAAGATTGTCCCTGGAAAAGATTCCTTTGATATGTGTACCGGTTCGAGACGGACCTGACCCAGCCGTATTGGCTGGGATCTCCATCAAGCTGAGTGAAATGTAAATCCATTTCCACAAACTACTCGTAACATGGGTTGAATGCTCAGCACATGGGCCACTAGAAATGTTGCCGTATAGTCAAAATGCATATTCCACCAGGGCCCTATGACGCACACACGCTTGGTTTTCACCGACACTCCTGTCACTGTTATCAGCTCCACCGCAAATAATACCAATAGCAAACGTCTCGTGCGACCAGGACTGCGGCATACTAGAGACGGTGCTGTTCCGCCCGGAGTTTAGAGCCGACACGACCCTTCTGACACGGGGGCCTTTCCACCAGCGCGGGGTCGAATCCAGCCGCACCTTCCTGCTAGCAGGTGACTCGTTCCGAGGTCGACGCGTGTTCACGAACTTGGACGAGCCCTCGTCCTGGTCACTGGCGTCCTCGTCCGACGAGCCGCCGCTGTCCTCCTCCGAAGCGAGGGCGTCCGTCTGAGAAAGCACGCGCTGGGTCGTGGGACGAACGGACGGCCAACAACGCCGGTGACACGAGAACGATGCGCGGCATTCGCCAGCTAACCCCACACTCACGCTGCACATGTGTGGGCCAATGCGGGTGCTTAGGTCAGAAAAAACAACATACGACTAAAAACACGCTCAATTGTCCGATAAAACAAGCACGCAAGGCACACAACTGTGTCGAACCACGAGACCTTCAGATCTTCAGTCTAACGCTCCTCCAGCTTGCCTTACTCGACCGCAAAGTTTGTGGTTCTCTGGTCGGACTGGGTTAGTGGACATGACAACGGCGTAATGATCAGTCAACGGACACGTAACCAGCAAAAGAACGTGTGCTGCGCGAACTATGTGGGAATACAGTAGAGCGTCCTACATGGGTCAGGTGGCAAAGTCATTTTTGTATTGAGCAACCGTCCACGTCACTGTGAGGCAGAATACCCAACCGGGGGGGGGGGGGGGGGGGGGGGGGGGGGGGAGGAGGAGGCAGGCGAATCACACGAAACTACCGAAGCCAGGGACGTCTGGATGTTCAGTGTAACTCCGCAGCACTGAGCTATGTATCTGGGGGACAATCGTTAGATTTTGTGGTCGTACGAGTAGGGGCGGGCCAACCGAACACGCATGCACGTGAAAATACAGCTCAACAGCGCAACACGATTTTTATCGTTGCCTCTAATCGTAGTTCAAGATACCTCACTTGCACATGCCAGAAGACAAAACCGGACGCGTCCTCGTTAAGACAACTTGGCACGCATGCTGAACGTGGATTGGCAGGTAAATAAAATACGCGAAATGCAAAATAGATCCAAGACTACCTGGTCATATAAGCAGATGAACATCGTAAACGACACGACCTCAAACCCTAGATGATAACGATAACCAACGCCCAACTCCTGCACGAGGTGTTGCTATGGCACACTGTACCACCTCCATAGCCCGAATTACCCACAGCAGTCCGTACCGGCGCAAAACTGCCGAAACCCGGGATCGAACCGGGGACCTTTAGATCTTCAGTCTAACGCTCTCCCAACTGAGCTATTTCGGCACTGGCATATCGGCGCTGATTACACAAAATGCTGAAAGCCCAAGGACATTAGTCACGTGGCCTCCAGCGTGCTGTTAGCTAACGCCTAACCGAAGAATCGCTGACGGCGGGACTCCCGACATTCCACTCCCGCCCATGGCCCAGTCCAGCACGCTTCGCCCACGTCGTCCCTGCCGCTCCCGCCGTTCTCTTTCCGCCCAACCTGACGCGGTCCCCAGGTCTCCGTCCGCACGGCGCCGCTGCATCAGCAGCCGTGACAGGGCCACGCCGCCGGCCTCCTCCAGGTCCCGCCCACTCCCTCAGTCCACCGGCCAGGCGGGACCGAGGTGTGTCGGGAGCCGCGGAACATGCTAACAGCTATATAAACTACTTGAAACCTCTTAAAGATTCACCTCGCGCACGCGTCGGCTATCAGCAACCTTAAATAACTTGGTACTATGGCCTTAAATGAGCGAGCACCACCGGCAGAAGCCAGTCACCCATGCCTCGGGACCGCCACCTGCCGGCCGGCACTGACCTGGTGGAGCAGGGAGGGCACCAGCTGGGCGCCAGACAGGTCCGGCTTGATGCCCGTGATGGTGGAGTAGATGAGACTCTGGTCGCCCGCCTTGGCCTGGCAGATGTCACGCTCGGCGTTGTACACCTGCCGACGGCCGGCCGCCTTCAGCGCGCGCGCCCCCACACCGGACACGGCGCGGAGCGGAGCTGGCGCCGCACCGATGGGAACATGGCGCAGGACCGACCCAACGGTGATGAGTATCTCTTGCATCAAAATGTCCTTTCAGGACAGCAAACGGCTAAATCATAAACAGAGCCACAACCGCCCATCTTACCCACTCCGCCATTGCGCATCTTGCATTCTTCACCACATAACACCAGCGCGTACGTCAGCCCCGCGCAGCAGCGCCGCCGCCACCAGGTGTCTCCAGCATCAGCCGCAGCCGGGCCGGCCACGCCCACCGCCGTGTCCTCACCTCGTCCAGCCGCTTGGGAATGTAGGCGTGCTTGAACACCTCCTCGTCGACCAGCTGCTGGTTGCTGAGCTGGCCCCGCTGGGCCGTCAGGTCCATCATGCGCTCCAGGTAGCCGCCTAGGTTGTCGGCCGTGATGTTGGGGTCGACGATGAAGTCGAACAGCTCGCGCACAGTCATCGTGGCCACCTGCAGGCGGGTGAAGTAGTCTGGAAGCAGGGAGGCGTCACGTCACGCCCGGTCAAAGGAAAATGTCACGTCACGTCACCTTCTGTGGCAGATGTGTGAGGTAAGATGGCGGTGTCTCGTGCCGTCACCAGGCAGGGAGCAGCGGCCAGCCGCCAGATGTGTGAGGTGAGATGGCGGGGTCTCGTGCCGTCACCCGGCAGGGAGCAGCGGTCAGCCGCCAGATGTGTGAGGTGAGATGGCGGGGTCTCGTGCCGTCACCAGGCAGGGAGCAGCTGTCAGCCGCCAGATGTGTGAGGTGAGATGGCGGGGTCTCGTGCCGTCACCCGGCAGGGAGCAGCGGTCAGCCGCCAGATGTGTGAGGTGAGATGGCGGGGTCTCGTGCCGTCACCAGGCAGGGAGCAGCGGTCAGCCGCCAGATGTGTGAGGTGAGATGGCGGGGTCTCGTGCCGTCACCAGGCAGGGAGCAGCGGTCAGCCGCCAGATGTGTGAGGGTGAGATGGCGGGGTCTCGTGCCGTCACCAGGCAGGGAGCAGCGGTCAGCCGCCAGATGTGTGAGGTGAGATGGCGGGGTCTCGTGCCGTCACCAGGCAGGAGCAGCGGTCAGCCGCCAGATGTGTGAGGTGAGATGGCGGGGTCTCGTGCCGTCACCAGGCAGGGAGCAGCTGTCAGCCGCCAGATATGTGAGGTGAGATGGCGGTGTCTCGTGCCGTCACCAGGCAGGGAGCAGCGGTCAGCCGCCAGATGTGTGAGGTGAGATGGCGGGGTCTCGTGCCGTCACCAGGCAGGGAGCAGCTGTCAGCCGCCAGATATGTGAGGTGAGATGGCGGTGTCTCGTGCCGTCACCAGGCAGGGAAGCAGCGGTCAGCCGCCAGATGTGTGAGGTGAGATGGCGGGGTCTCGTGCCGTCACCCAGCAGGGAGCAGCGGTCAGCCGCCAGATATGTGAGGTGAGATGGCGGTGTCTCGTGCCGTCACCAGGCAGGGAGCAGCGGTCAGCCGCCAGATGTGTGAGGTGAGATGACGGGGTCTCGTGCCGTCACCAGGCAGGGAGCAGATGTCAGCCGCCAGATGTGTGAGGTGAGATGGCGGGGTCTCGTGCCGTCACCAGGCAGGGAGCAGCGGTCAGCCGCCAGATATGTGAGGTGAGATGGCGGTGTCTCGTGCCGTCACCAGGCAGGGAGCAGCTGTCAGCCGCCAGATGTGTGAGGTGAGATGGCGGGGTCTCGTGCCGTCACCAGGCAGGGAACAGCGGTCAGCTGCCAGATGTGTGAGGTGAGATGGCGGGGTCTCGTGCCGTCACTAGGCAGGGAGCAGCCGTCAGCCGCCAGATGTGTGAGGTGAGATGGCAGGGTCTCGTGCCGTCACTAGGCAGGGAGCAGCTGTCAGCCGCCAGATGTGTGAGGTGAGATGGCGGGGGTCTCGTGCCGTCACTAGGCAGGGAGCAGCCGTCAGCCGCCAGATGTGTGAGGTGAGATGGCAGGGTCTCGTGCCGTCACTAGGCAGGGAGCAGCTGTCAGCCGCTAGGGGAGGCCGACTCTGTTTGTGACTGGCAGCATCAGGGGCTGTGCGGGTGCCATTGACAAAAGAGCAAGTCAAATTGTCCAACGACCGTGAAATTCTGACTAGAACATCCAGTGTACGTGCATCAAGCTTGGGAAAACAACACCACTAAATTCATCATCATACCACAACAATCATCGTCTTCATCATCATCATCATCATTATCATCATTAGTAGTAGTAGTATTAGTATTATTATCAGCATCATCATCACACCACATCACATCACATCACATAGCATTATTATCAACAATTCGCACATTATTCACCGATAATTACGTCATTCCAGCTCGACAAAAACCCAATGTAGTCCAAATAAATGACATTACGACATCATATGCTCACTCTGTACGGAAAATTGTCCACCAGCCCCACACAGTGTATGACATATGGTGCCGGGTCCCGCCCGCCTGCCTCAGAGTGGCGGCACCTGCTGCCGGCTGCCGGGCCCGGGGCGGCCGACACCACTCACTGGTGATGTTGGTGCAGTCCTTGCGCAGGAAAAAGAGCGCGTTCTGGTGGTCGTGCTCCAGCGACTGAGACACGTCGATCACGACCACGTGTCCTTTGTGATACCTGCGCGGGCCAATGGCGGCGTCAGGCGGGGCTCCACGGGAGACACGCAGGGCTTCTGGTTCGGCGCGGAACAAACTGACCACGCCGGCTCTGATGCGGCACGTGCCCGTTCAGTCAGTGAGTCGGATCGCTTACAAAAAAAAACACGTCCCTGCGCACTTGTTGAATACACGAGTCTGAATGAGACCGCAGGCTATTAGTGTATGTCAGCCTGTGTCAAACCAATGAGCTGTTCGGTGCGGGCCGGGCCCGTTTGGACACGTCGCTAGGCCCCCGCTCGCGCTTTGTGAGTCCGGGTGGCCCGGTCCGCATGTCAGGCACGTCAGCCAGCGGCACACAGCAGGCCGGCCCCCGAGGACGCTATACAGCAGCGGCACTGAGGACTCCACACAGCAGGCCGGCCTCTGAGGACCTCACACAGCAGACTAGCCTCTGAGGACTACACACAGCAGGCCGGCCTCTGAGGACCCCACACAGCAGGCCAGCCTCTGAGGACCCCACACAGCAGACCAGCCTCCGAGGACCCTACACAGCAGGCCGGCCTCCGGGGACGCTACACGGCAGCGGCACTGAGGACCCCACACAGCAGGCCAGCCTCTGAGGACCCCACACAGCAGACCGGCCTCTGAGGACCCCACACAGCAGACCGGCCTCTGAGGACCCCACACAGCAGACCGGCCTCTGAGGACCCCACACAGCAGACCGGCCTCTGAGGACCCCACACAGCAGACCGGCCTCTGAGGACCCTACACAGCAGACCGGCCTCTGAGGACCCCACACAGCAGACCGGCCTCTGAGGACCTCACGCAGCAGACCGGCCTCTGAGGACCCCACCCAGCAGACCGGCCTCTGAGGACCCCACACAGCAGACCGGCCTCTGAGGACCTCACGCAGCAGACTAGTCTCTGAGAACCCCACGCAGCAGACCGGCCTCTGAGGACCCCACACAGCAGACCGGTCTCTGAGGACCCTACACAGCAGACCGGCCTCTGAGGACCTCACGCAGCAGACCGGCCTCTGAGGACCCCACACAGCAGACCGGCCTCTGAGGACCTCACGCAGCAGACTAGTCTCTGAGGACCCCACACAGCAGGCCGACCTCTGAAGACCCCACACAGCAGCAGCACTGAGGAGAGCACCGGCCTGCCCCGCGCACGCGCTGGTCGCCGAGCGTGTGCGACAGTGCACACAGGCTGAAACGGGCTCCAGAGGCACCGCCGCCGCTCGGCACACAGACTGAAACGGACTCCAGCAGCACCGCCGCCTCTCGGCATACAGGTCGCCTCGATTTCTCCTTCACACAACCGGCACACAAAGCGCAGCACCCTACCTTTGACCAAGATCTAGGGATCACCGCCATTGCCTCTGCCTCGGCAAATTCTCCGCGACATATATACCACTTACATCCCTCCTTTGTTTGATTATTATGACGTAGTATGCGACGGACTTTTGACAACCAGAGACTCCCTTAGACTCGACGGATTACAGCATACAGCAGCAAGACTAATCACCGGTGCACTCTATAGAAAACACACTCGCGCACGGTTGGACGATTTGAGGTGGGACACTCTCCAATCACGAAGAAACATACACAAACAAAATCCAACTACACCTAGTCCCTATTGTATGTGTGGTTATTCATATGAAGACCCTAAACACTTTGTATTGAACTTCCCTCGCTATCATGATATCAGAGTTTCGATGCTACGTAAAACAGATCGTATCATTCCAAACTTTACTGAGCTCACTCACAACGACTATCTAACTATCTATCTCAGAAGCAATGGTTTACAAGATTGCAATAAGCAGCAGAAAGCAAAAAATTCCAAGCATTCATTTTTCAGCCTAAACGATTCGCCTAAAAACTTCCAGCGAGCGCGGGAAGCGAACGGGCCACTGGGTGGCGTTGCCGGGCCAGGCGTCCGCCGCCGCTCCGGTTCACACATATAGCCGTCCCGGGCCGGCGGCAGACGCCCGGCCCGGTAACGCCACCCAGCGGCCCGTTTGCTGCCGGACGTCCGCCGCCGGCCCGGGATGGCTATATGTGTAAACCGGAGCGGCGGCGGACGCCTGGCCCGCGTCGGCTTACAGATCGGACGAGTGGGCGGTGGGTCGTGGGCTCCCTGGCGGCGATGACCATGTCTTGTTATTGTTAGGAAAGACGCCCAGATTTACGCGTTCCCCTTAAGCGCCGATCCTCTCATCATATTATGTACTGCTTCATATCCACAATCGAAAATAAACATTAAATCAAATCCAATCCAATCAATCAATTCAAGCGGGATCTACCTCATCACCGTTTCTGGCGCCCGACTCCACAGAGGCGACAATCGCCGCGAACTGAACGGCCGCCGGCCTCACACAGAGCACCGCCACTCCAGCCAGACTAAACCAGCTGGCACCGGGCTGACCGGCTCTGCGCGAGCCTCCCCGGCCAGCGGCGGCCGCCCGCGGCGCGCCGTCGCCGCACTCACAGCATGTTGTACTCGCTGAGGTCTGCGTGCACCAGGCGACACTCGTGGTAGATGGTGCGCATGATCTTCACCACGTCCAGGTACAGCTCGCGTGCCTTCGACTCGCCGATGTTGGCATCCTGTACCACCCAGGGGCAAGACCATGTCACCAGGCAATAGTCGTGCGGCTTTGCTGCATGATATCATTTTCACATGTTGCTACCGTATCAGCTGACAATGTAGATGAGGGGCATAAATCCACACTAATATATGAAGAGGCTGTAATGTGCATTGCTGCTGTACTATGACACCCTCAGGATAACAAAAAACAGTGAGGTACGAATGTATTTTTTTAAACACACATTAATGTGTGTCAGGAACATAACCACAATGAATTTTTAGTATCCATATAATCCAAAATAATTTCCATACAGCAGATATCGGCAAAGAGCCTGACGGGGGATTTCTCAACCCAGCTCTGACCCATCACCTGGCTCAGAAAGCCACCAGACAGCGCGAGCCAAACACACTGTGCAGCAGGGCGACGCCGGCGTCCTCACGTGTAGCTTTGGTGCGGCCCGGCCGTCCTCGCCGATGAAGCCCATGAGGAGGACATTGCTGCGCAGGAGGACGGGCTGCGGACAGGGCACGCCGGCGCGCGCCAGCCGCGTCAGGTTCCGCATCTCCTTCTCCGCCCAGGTCTGCACCATCTTGCGCGGGTTGTGCTTGCTGTAGCCGTGCCGGTGCCTGATGGCACGGAGAGGAGGCGCCGCTGCTACTTGGTGGTACTCGCTGACGCACGGCAGACGTGGCGCACGTAGTCATGTGTCGGCAATCAGCCAAAAGTAAAGAACAGTCCACGGATATGTGATTGCATTGACGACACCCAGCGCAATCACACCATATTATCACTGAAACACTCGTAACGACTTGGACAGTGACTGTCACACACGCAGTCGCCATTATCGCATGCCTAACTTACACGACGAACGCTGTGGCCATACCTGAACTCCCCAGCCACGTATTTCTCGCGGTCCTTGAAGGTCAGGATGGACGTCTTGTATATTTTGACGGCCCGCTCTGTGCCCGAACCGTCCTCGCTCAGGGGCGGCGCGCCGCTGGCGTGGAACACGTTCGCCTCCTGCAGCGTGAGGCGCGACCAATCAGAGTCCGCCCCGCCGACTGGCCGGCCAACCACGCGGCATCCAGCTTACCCGTCCGCCAACCACGGATCAGACCATGGTTGGTCGGATCGCGGGCGGGAGTCTGTCTAGTGTTCAAAACTTGGGGACGCAAACTACGGTACTTAAGTTAGTTTGCTTCTAGTTTCAACAACCAACGTTTCATTAAGGCTCTTCACCAACGGTAATGGTCTCAAACATGTGAAGAGCAGCCCAACAAAACTGCGCCGACGTCATATGTAACCAAACTCAAGACTGCCACCTTGGCCGCTTTTTCTTTATCCTTCTTTCACATCTACCATCCCTGCCGCAAGCCTCTGCTGTGAAACTACAGCCACACCCATCTCTCGGTTTCGTGAGGCCTCCCACCTTGCCCATGGAGACGGAGCCGTTGATTTCTGCGAAGTACCCGCGGTCCATCAGTTGGTAGAGAATCATGCGCGTGCGCGGGTCGAGCACCTGCTCCACGGTGGCCCGGTCCTTCTTGTCCTTGGTGCGGATCCTGCAACGCAGTGCCCAGACCGGTATCACATCCAGCAGGAGTCGGAGGAAGCGGCGTCACAGCCAGCGGGTCAGCAGCCAGCAGCCAGCGGGTCGGGGGAGGAGGGGGGGGGGGGGGGGACGGCAGCACAGCCAGCCGGTGTCGGAGGAGTTTGCAACGCAATCGCATTCTGCAGGGAAATACGCGTTGCAATGCAAATGTTGCTTTCCTTTCCTGGCGAAGGCAAAAAAATTGCGAAGTCCGGACTCCATTTTCACCCACAGCGAAGTCAAGAAAATCGCTCTGGGCTAGGTCGTCGCCCAGCGGACAATGATCCGAACACTGCGGGGGTGCGAAGCGTGAAGTCTATGGGGTAATCGACAGCTATACCGTTACTTTAAGGTTAATCTGCCTCGCCTGCAAGCACAACAGCGGGTAAAGAAGCAAAACGTATTTGTGGTACACCATTCGTACAACATTTTCTAAGCTGAGCCACAGCAAGCCAACTCCCTCAGCTGCACCGGGTAAGTCCACTGCGGCGGAGCCCTACCTAATGCGCAGGACGTCTACGGAACGACACACCCATGTAACGCTGTCACACGAATAGTTCCACTGGCCATAGAAGAATGCACGAAAGGCAAGCTAGCTAGTGACAACAGTCGGCAACATTACGACTGCTGACAAAGGTACACAGAGTAAAGGCGCGACAACTGGCTCACCTAGACGAGTCGTTTCTCTTTGCCGCCTCCGATATTTGGTTTCTCACGGCGTTGGACACTTTCGGCCCGTCATAGCGATCCAAGTTGATCCGATGGCTGTAGCGCATCATCAGGTTTTTGGAGGGCTGGTAGTTCTTGGCTTGACCGGCAGGGACGCCGCCAGCCTGCGCCGTTCCGCGATGGGCCAGGTACACCTTGGTCAAATCTGGCGACGAGATCACACAGCGCACTCGTCAGCATGGATACAGCACGGCCAGCAGATGCTAGCTTATCACTCCACATGCACATCATCAGTCTGCAAGCAGGTGGCACATCAGACATTCGGACGGGACTGCAGCATGCGTGCATTGGGACTCTTTCAAGGCCTTCGATCTTGGGCTATTCCCGGCATGACATCGGCTTCTGTTTGGGCAACAGCAATTTCTACTGAGAACACGGTACGAATCAAATGACACGACCGTACGACCCCACAATATAAGCGGCACAGATACAATGACATTCACGCACACTGAAATCTGATGGCTGAAGACGCATGATACCATATGTGCAAGATGCTCGCGGATGGGAGATCCGCGAATGAGATGTCTCCATGTGCCAGCAACGCCAGCCGCATTGCAGCGGTGAATTCAGCTACTTATGTTTGTCCCACTCATTTCCCGGCAAATATATGGTATTAGCGTTATTTCAATCCACAACTGCTGATACTTTGGCTTTGGACTACAATGTGCTAAAGTACATTAATTTCAACTGCCTAACTCACGGATCACAGGACCTGTATTATACCACAAATATAATGGATTCGCGCCTTGTGATTCGCACTTTCGCGCCTTCTCCAACCATACTCGGTGCGATCACATCACGACCAAGAGAAATTATGGATCTGTGTTCAGACATAACTCAGCTCTACATTAACACCAAAGTTCCTGCCATCTTAGCCGGCCAAAGCACGGTTACCCAGAAAGCATCAAAAGCAGTGCAGCCCACCTTTCCTGCTGGACGGGTCCCAGTCGTAGAACTCGGCGTCGTCATCGCTTTCAAACGCGTCGTCGTCCTGGTCAGGCTGCTCGTCACCAGCAGCGGAGCCCGACCCGCCCCGGACCGGGTCACTGGCCGTCGGACTCAGCTGACTCAGCTGACTGGCCAGTGACGTCACACCGTCCCCGGCCGAGGCCCGCCCTGCTGGCTGGAACTGGGCCTGCCTGTGTGCAGGAGACCATGATGGTGAGACTGCTGGTCAGGCCCACTCTGCTGGCTGGAACTGGGCCTGGCTGTATGCAGGGAACCATGACAGTGAGCTGTGCCAGTCAGGCCTGTCTGCTGGCTGGAACTGGGCCTGGCTGTGTGCAGGGGACCATGATGGTGAGACTGTGCCAGTCAGAATGTCCCATTCACTGCACTTGAACAAAATGCACATATGGCTTCATTGTGATGCAACAGGGAGTCTGTTTGATGTAGAACACCACGATATCATAAAGAAAAATACAAGCGTAGAGGCAATGTCATACTGCCTTTTGGGTGAGAAGGAGGAACCAGATGTGTTGCTCGTTACTTACCGACCACAGATATGCTTGGCATCAGACATATCATCTTCAGCATCACTGAACTGGCCAGCTAGAGCATCCATCTGGGGAATTTCAAAACACAGCACATGTCAACAATTTGGCAAAATTAGAGCATTGAAAAACACCATCTAAACAAGACTGCCTCATATGCATTACCCAAGATGCAAGTCTCAGTATTTTCTAGGCAAGAAAATAATTCACTTCATGTCACATTTTTTGTTCACAGGCAGAGTTCAATAAAGTCCCTGGCAAGGCCTCAAAATGGAACTGCACTGCCCAAATAAAGCCCCTCACAGCCAAACACATATGCAGAATAGCTGACACACCCAACAGGAACCATGATCAAATGGCTGAGGATTGGTCATTGGCAACGTCACCAGCCTCCACTTGATAAATGACACACAACATCTGCCTCCGGACACTATCTAAGACCCTGAACCAGGAACTTAGTCCTTTCCAAAAGTAAAACAATGGTGGGGAGCATAGGTGGCAATCTTGGAAATAATGTTTGGATACAAACAATGTTGTTGTCATGATTGCCACTGCCCTATCACCAGAATTTTTTCAGAACATGAAAGCCCACTTCAGGTCATCACCTGCTTTTTCAGGATATTGTTGCCTAGCCAGTCTTGGCTTACTGAACCCAGACCTCCCATACACACCGCACAGATAAGATAAAAAACTATTGTGTGATAACTCATCTCTGGCCCATGCATTATTTGATTCTGACCACCCATCATCACATGGCCACAGTATGTCACCATTGTCATCAAAATATATCTTTATGAATAGCTGATTAGAAAGGATAACAGACCACGATGGAAAATCAACACCCGATTTATTGGCCACCATCTGTGCAACATATAACTTAACACTGATCACTCACAATCATTGGACCATTACCATTGTAAATTGACTGTGATCCTTAAATTACCCACTTATTCATAATTACATAACAATGGGAGCAAAATACCCTTTGGTGGATGACAAAACCCTGATCATGGATATTTGTTGACTTTCTGCAGGGCATTATTATACTCTACTTCCATATACCTATTTGCCTTCAGTCATTTGATCAGCATATTCAATGGTGTAGTTTTATGTACATAAGTGGCAGGAGAGGGGAAAATTCTCACATATTACTAGACCTAGGACTGCTAGGGGTTATTCATGTTCAATAAATTGATAGCATACCATTGAACAGCATGCCTTTTAGCCAAAGAAAGGCATTTTAACCCATGTTTTCTTAGAACACAATTAATCACAACACAACTTACACACACCACTGAGTCATTTAGCTGAACACCACTTAAAGCCATCCAGCAGTAGTCTGAAAAAACGTCCTCGCACGTCCTCTCAGCTGCGCTGAGAAGTCCTCTCTACTTACCTTTGCAGGCAGGCAGCTGCTTCTTGAAAGCTGTGACAACCTTGACAGCCCACCCCCACGCCACAGTACCTATCAGCCAGACCTAAATCCCTCCGCGCGACCCCACTCACACTATGCTCTCGGATTGCACCACGCCAGACAACACGTGCCCATGCCCTTGGTCTGCCATATTCCTTTTTGTTGTTTTGAGACAACCGCGCCCTTTTTGTCTCAAAATCGTGCAAGACTACAAAATGTGAACGTCTTTTCAATGTCTAAATTTATATAAACGCTCGATCAAAATCATCTTGCGCCCGAAACTACCCCGACAGTCCCAACGCGTGCATGACAGGTTATGTCGCGCAGCAAAGTTACAGGAAGCTGGGTGAAAAAGCCAGACAGGCGCTCCCCCAAAAACCCAGTTAATATCGTCCTACCCGATATAATGTGCAAATCAGTAAATGGATTTTCTTTTGTGCGCTGAGAAAACGCAGTCAGATACATCAAAAGGTCATCCATATACTACGCCCTCTTCCACCCACGCCCAGGAATGGCAACTACACAATACTCCAAACGAAGCGATAGTGCCGGCGTTACGCCTTGCGAGTGCTGCTTGGATGAGCCACAACCGAGGGGCGATGAGAATCTTCGCAGCTCAGGAAGACTGAAAGACATTTTTGCTATTTCTTTCCTGCCGACGTCCAGTGCGTCCAAGAAAATCTGGGAAACCCAGCCACCCTGGCTCCCCTTGTTTCCGCACGCCTGCCGAAACCAAATCACACCACCGCTCGGCAGCACCAAATCAGGATCTACCGTGTTGATATGAAGCCCAATTCATTCCGGCTCATTTCAGACGCTTTATTGATGATGAATGGGAAACGTACAAAACTATGCAAATGCACATCCGCGCGGGAACAGTTCACAGCTCCAGGTCACGTCTTGCGGTCGGTGACGCGCGCGCGCGCGGCCAGGGCGCCTGACTTGCCGACACGCGCCACTCGGCCGCCGATCGCGCGCCACTCCGGCGCGCCGCGGCGACAGGGCCGTCCTGCGCCGGCCCCCCACCATCTGGCCACGACCTCTGGCCACGTGCCCTTACGACACCAGCGGCTGATCTACCATTCTGCGTCGCGAGCAGACGGCGATCGCGTCTTTTGTACACGTACGTGCGGCGCCGCCCGAAGCGTGAGATTTGTCCGCACCGGTGCAGCAGCCCACCGCAGCGCTGGGCGACGGTCGGCGCCGCGACCCGTCACTACACGCGACGCGCCGTTCCGCGGAGCCGCGGCCGAGAGCCGCCACACCCGTCGCCGGGTGAGCTCCAAGACTCGTGCCGAGTCCGCCGCGTGAAAAACGACGCGCTACATCCGAGCCCAGACTCGCCTCCATCGCGTCCACGTGTGCCTCAAGTCGCATCAACACATCGCGGAGGCCAACTCCACGTCACCCCCGAACCCCTTCCCCTCCCCCCCTCCCTTCTCCCGCCCATCATAAACGTACGGAGCCACCGCCCGGCCCAGTGAGCGCAACAGGGCCTATGTACAAATCACGCATGCAGCCATCATCTATACTGGTGTCATATCCGGCGCGCCGAGTCGCGCCGTCGCGCCGCGCTTGGCGCACCGCAGCCCGCGCGGTGCCGCGCGCGGAGCGGCGACTGCCACGGTCGCCGCGGCCGCGCACCAGAGGAGATCGGCGATGGCAGCGGGGGACATCAGTCCCGACGCGGCTCCAGTGGCGGCGCGCGCTTTACCGGTGGCCGTTCTTCTTGTGCACGTACATGTCGTGCTTGGTGCGGAACATAGCGCCGCACGTGCAGCTGACCGGGTCCAGGCCTGCAGAGCGGGCATGGGCCGGTCAGGGTCAGGGGTCCGGCGGCGCCGCACGACTTGTCACGCGTGGCTGGCCGCGTCACAGCGTCAGCTGACGTGAAGTGAAGTGAGGTGAGGTGAGGTGAGGTGAAGTGAGGTGGGGTAAGGTGAGGTGAGGTGAGGTGAGGTGAGGTGAGGTGAGGTGAGGTGAGGTGAGGTGAGGTGAGGTGAGGTGAGGTGAGGTGAGGTGAGGTGAGGTGAGGTAAGGCGAGGTGAGGTAAAGGCACCGGTCATGGGTGTACCTTTTATCTTATTGGAGGGCATTGCCTTCCCCCAAATTTATCTCTGTAAACCCAATATTTGACACCCATATCACCTAATCACTCCAACTATTTGTTCTGGGGTAGCCACGCAATGGAAAGAAAAAAGTTTCACTTATATCATGCAGCAACGGTGATAAAGTAGCACTCAGCACTAAGGAAATCAAACCCAAACACCCTACCAACCAGCAGTTGGTATTATGGCGTTAGCCAACACAGCCCAGAGATGAGTCAACAGAGAGCAGAGGGCAGATAAGACAGATGAGAGGACGAGTAGACCGGTACACAGCCCAGTCGGGGATCTTCACACGCACCACGTCGTCCCGTCAACGGACCAGACAGTGGCTCTCACAGCCTGAGAGGCATGGGCACATGAGCAGGGCGGCGCAATGACGCGGCGGCCGGGCGGCAGAGCACAGCGACGCCGGCTACTCACGCGTGGCCGGGCCCGGCGGCTGGGGACGGGTGAGGCGAGGTCGGAGCGGCCAGGTCGGGGTCGGGAGCGGGGTCGGGACCGGCGGCGCCAGGAGCCGGCTCACCGCCAGCAGCCAGTGGTCAAAGGTCGCCTCTGGGCCGGTCAGAGGACGTCAGCCGGCAGGACCGGGGGCCACACACGCCGCCTCTGGGCCGGTCAGAGGACGTCAGCAGGCAGGACCGGGGGCCACACACGACCGGCCGGGCACGGCCAACGTCACTGCTGCTGCCCGCCGAGCCGCCTTAGTAATCAACCCTCGTTTGAGCCATTTGAAAATGGACCAACAACGACAACCGCTAAGGGTGTCGCAAATGAATGCATCACATCTCCATAAATCTGGCTGAGCGAAATCAAAACCAAACATGGAGTCACATGGGGATCAAAGCTTACTCGCAATCTGTCTTACTCGCACAACGTTTCAGGGCAACACCAGATCGGTCTGCCATGTCGCGGATTCGCTATCCCGCGCGTGGTCTTAACCCCGACATGGTACTCTGAACGGTCACCACGGGTGGGCAGACGGGCGGGGCCATGCTGCCCCAGCGCCCCAGCTGGGTCCGGTCACAATATCAATACTAGCCCTCCGGGAGCACATGAGACCCTCTGAACCATCGAGGGGTAGTGCTACCAGGGCGCGGAACGGGCGATGTGTGTCATTCGGGCTTCACGACGCACTAAGCAGCTGAGGCTACATGGCGTCGCCTGTCTCTCACCCTGGAAGGAAGGGCGGGCACCGCGGGGAATCGAACCCCGTAACTCTGGTTTCCCAGACGCGCAGTGGGGAACAGGCGATGTCAGCGCCATCTCGGACAGAGGGTCAACAACGCATATCGTGAGGTCATTCACTTGGCAGGTCACTATTGCCCAGGTCAGACAGGGTTGTCAGTGTGAAGGTCAGACCAGGTTCCCAGTGTCCAGGTCAGGTCGGCTCAGGTCACACTCACGTAGGACAGGAGAGGCGGCCGGGCCGCGCGGGAAGGCGGGACGAGGCACCAGCGGAATGAAGGGAGGCTGAGCCCCACGGCCGCCGGGTCTAATCCGCACCGCTGCCGCACGGACGACGGGCGGTGACAGGCTGACCAGTGCCGCGCCCGCAGCACGCGTCAAAGAAGGGTCCGGCGAGCTTACAGCACCCACACAGCCGCGCCAAGGAAAGCGACATTGCCAAAACCGGGGCAGCCCAAGTCGGAGGACACAAACTTCAAACGATAGAGGCATAGCACCGTGGCAGAATCGCCAGCGATATTTCGTTAAGGAAGCAACAAAAGTAACACAAAAGAGACCAAACACACCAACCATGATAACAGGATCGTGGCGATAAACCATCAAAACCAGACGGCAGACATAAGCCGGTTCACCGATCCGCTAACCTTTCACAGCCAACCCCACAGCAGCCCAAACGCCCACAGCCAACAACCGCTCAGAGCCAGCCCAGCTGCATCCCCCAGCCGACCCCGTGGCACGCCTGCGCGGCTCCTCGGCCGCATCCCCCAGCCGACCCTGCGGCACGCCTGCGCGGCTCCTCGGCTCGTCCGCCAGACGGCCGGCGCCGCCCACCCACCTTCCGAGTGCATGATCGCCACATGCGTGCGGAGCGTGGCGGCGTCGCGGTAGACGCGGCGACAGTGCGGACACGGCCGCGGCTCGTGGAACGCCAGGTAGCGCTGCTCGTCGGTCAGCGGGCTGGGCTCGGCGCCGCGTACGGTACCATCTGCCGGCAGTACGGCCCCGTCACCGGCGCCCAGGCCGCGGCGCTAGGTCACGGGACAGACGGGGAACGGCGGGGGAGGGGGAGGAACGGTGAAGAAAGATCCCGCCGGAGTGCTCCGACGCCGGTGCCGCATGGACCGGTGGGGGGGGGGGGGGGGGGGGGGGCGTGGATGACCCAGATGGTTCCGTAATCCATCACGACGTGCGGCGAGGTCACGAGGTAAGAGCGCAGAGGTCACGGAATGAAGGGTAGTGAGGGGAGTCACCGTCAAACGAGGGGTCACTCAGGAGCTACGGTGTGGAACGGGGTTGAGGACCCCGGCCATAGTAAATGGCAGACCCGGACGACAGGACAGGCCGCGGGCAGCAGGGTCACAGGATGGGGAGGGAGTCATACCGGCTCAGAGTCGCATGGCATTGCCTCGGCGGCTCACAGACTGCTACTCAGCGCTCACTGCGGGTCGGATGAGAGTCATGGCGGACAGCAGGGGCCCTCGCTCGCGTCAGCACGGCTCAGGGGGCGTCCCTCGCATGACGTCGTGCCCGACGGCTGCGACTTGGCTGAAGACCGACCCAACCGGGCCAGGTCTTCCCCACGTGTCTGAACGTTCATGCCGTTAACACAACTTCTCCCGCCTCAGGGTCGCTTCCCGGAAGAGATGGCCTCGGTCCGGCAGCGACCGGGCTGCGCGAGGCCGCTAACGTCCTCGTCCGGCCCCAGTTCGACCACAGAGTGCGAGTTAACACACCCTGATCACGACAAGCGACCGACAGCTCCCTCCCCCGCCGAAGTGAACAATTCAGCTCCGTGAGCCATGAGACAACGACAGCACACTCGTCGCTTGTTCAAATCATTGGCACAAATCTGCACAGCGACAGGACGTTGTACCACAGTAGGCCGCTTTGGGTTGTCACTTACCATTTTTTGGCATTGAAGATACTATGGCGGCCTCCAGATCGTTGGGCAGCCGGGGTTCTGTAACGGACAGCAGCGGCTTCAGCCCAGTCGTCGGGTCGAACAATGATCGCCACTTCTAGTTTAGCTTCCAGCCCACGCCCCCAGTACACCTGAGCTGCATCTCCGCTGGAGAGCGGGCTCCTGAGCGCAGCACGTGTCTGCCGCATGCCAGTCGAGGCCGCGGTGATCGGCCGACCAAACCCTGAGTCTGTTCAGCAGCAGCGCCACCCCGATCCCGAGCTCACCTAGCTTGATCTTGACGGCCAGGTTCTTGAGTCGTGCAGTGGCCGTGTACGACTCGGGGCTGGCGGCGTCAGCGCGCGGCAGCGGGTAGAACTGGTCGTCGGTGGCGCCGCTGTCCTGTGACCAGCCGTCGCCGTCGCCGTCGCCGTCCTGCCGACACCGGTGGTGGGTGGTCAGGGGTGGGCGGCGGGCTGCCCTGTCCGGGGTCACGCCGGCGGGGGTACCGGCGGTGGGTGGTCAGGGGTGGGCGGCGGGCTGCCCTGTCCGGGGTCACGCCGGCAGGGGTACCGGCGGTGGGTGGTCATGGGTGGGCGGCGGGCTGCCCTGTCCGGGGTCACGCCGGCGGGGGTACCGGCGGCGAGCGCCGACACTGCATGGGTGCGAGAGGCGGCAGCCCAGACGTGAACCGTTCATGGAGTCATTGAGGGCGGTGACGAGTGGCAGCGGACAGAGTGACTGAGATCATAATCGTGGAGCTTATGACAGCGAGCCAGACAGCACCGGGATAAATGTTTACCGCAGACAGCACACGCCCATCAGGAATATGGATGCTGAAAATGCGCCCCAGTGAAGAAGTGGAAGAAGAAGTCAAAATACGAAAGGGCACTGTCAGCCCGGCAGGCTCGTGCGTACCTGTTCGTCCAGCAGAGTCTCCGGCTCCAGACCATTGGACTCTTCGTCTATGCGGAGCTGGCCGTCACCCTCGTTATCACTGCCACCTGGCGGCGAGACGGCAAGTTAGACCCCAAGATCGGTGACGGTACGGCGGGCTGGCTGGCGGACGAGCGGCAGGTTAGACCCCAGGGTCTGTGACGGTACGGCGGGTTGGCTGGCGGACGAGCGGCAGGTTAGACCCCAGGGTCGGTGACAGTACGGCAGGCTGGCTGGCGGACGAGCGGCAGGTTACACCCCAGGGTCTGTGACGGTACGGCAGGCTGGCTGGCGGATGAACGGCAAGTTGTCGACGGGCTGAGCAAAGGCATCGTTCCATACACGATAGTATCACACAACTGTGCTCCGCTGCACCCGACCCATGACTGGCGTCTTGAATGGTACAGAAAATGTAGTCTTTTAAAATCTAAGTCTATCTTAAATGGCACAGTGAAAGCTCACAGAGTATCTCCAAAAAAGAGAAGTGCATGTCACATTTGGCCTAGTGCAGTGAGCTAGGTCGACGGAGGTAGCAAATACGTCAGCGCTGGACAATATTACGTCCTGAAAGGGCTACACCAATACCGACTTCAGGACAAAAAATTGTGGTCACTTGGGCAACTCTAACCTTTGTTTGGGAAGGTGTCTTAAACAGCACCTGACATACTTTGTAATTGGAATACGCTATCCTTCTTTGAGATGGCGGAACGGTCAAAGATAAAAACGTCAGGCTGTCAGCCTCATCAATGTAGGACATTTTTCCTTGAAATGGATCATCTAAAAATGCCAGTAATGCTCTATGTTGATAACAGCACATTTTGAGGCACAGATCCTAAAAGCCGTCACCATAATTTTGTTTAAATCGCTCGTGGTGTGAAGCTGCACTTCTGCCCCCCACGACCAGATGCTATGCTTTCCCATTCAACACTTTGGCTACCACGGGCCAGGCTCAGCAGGTTTAAGTACACGCCGAGCCGTTACGCACCGTGCTAGGGGCGGCCTTAGAGTTTTGTCCATCACACGGTCCAGGTCACACCTGACTCCACACGCTACCCAAAACGCCACGAGCGCCCGCCCACTGGCGGTCCTCAGGCGTCAGCAGCCGGCGCCAGGCGGCGCCCCGGCCCCGCCCCCAAGCCGTACCGATGCCGTTGGTGTCGCGCGAGTCCTCGCTCTCCACGCTGCTCCGTCCGCGCACGTCGGGTGCCGCCGTCAGCGGCGGCGGCGGCGGCGCTAGCGACGGCTTCTTGCGGCCCTTCTTGGCGGCGGGCGCGGCCGGCGGCGGCTCCGGCGCCGCTCGCTTCCCGGCGCGGCCGGTAGGCGTCGCCCCTGAGCTGGCCGTCTGCGGGGCGGCCGGCGTCAGCGGCGGAGCAGCCGCGACGGGGCGCGCTCCACATCGCGGGAGGGATCGGGGCGGCCACCTCGCAGGCCCGCGAAACAGGGACGTGGGGGACCACTGAACCTGCTGGGGCACGGCAGCTCGCCCCCCTCGCCCGCACTAGCTTAAAGTAACACAATCCACCACCAAAAAGGGTGAACACCGAACCGAAAATCCCCATGGAGTATACAGCCTCCGGAGCCTGAGCCCCAGCTCCCCGGATGCTATAACGCAGCAAATATTCGTCCCCGCCCCGTCCCGTCCCCGGCGCCAGTAACGAACCGTTACCTTAACCCGCCTGCCCCTCCCCCCCCTCTCCCATCTGAGGGGTGACGCAACACACACGCACCTTGAAGCCCTGGGCGGGCGCTGCGCAGAGGCCACGAATCTGCAGCATCTCGGCGGCCTTGAGCAGGCCCGGAATCACGTCCTGCGTGACGTTCACCTCGCCATGGTACATGAAGTGCACGAGCGCCTCGAGCTCGGGCCGCGACACATCGTGCAAGATTAGCACCGGACTGTCGGACATGTCCTGCTGCGGACACGCCAGCGGCGGCCGGTCAGCGTGGGATGCCAGACAGTCAGCATGGACACCAGACATTCAGCATGAACATCAAGGTCAGCATGGGACACTTGGAGATCAGCATGGGTATCAGACAGTTAGTATGGGACATTAGGTGGTCAGCATGGGACATCAGATAGTTAGCATGGGATACCAGACAGTTAGCATGGGACATTAGGTGGTCAGCATGGGACATCAGATAGTTAGCATGGGATACCAGACAGTTACTATGGGACATTAGGTGGTCAGCATGGGACATCAGACAGTTACCATGGGACATCAGAGGGTCAGCATGGAACATAAGGCTGTCATCTCAGGATGTCAGATGGCCAGCACAGTAGGTCTGGTGTCATGAAAACATGACTAGGGCTCATGGCTATATGTATGTGGCAAATGATTGCACCAGAGATAAGTCATCTGCAAAGTACAATTGGGGTCAGATGGGGAAAAGCTTACCACCAGCAGCTTTTTGAAGTAGTAGGAGCAGGCAGAAAGAACCATCTTATGCCCCCGCATCTTGAAGCCACCCTGTACAGCCAGAGTGACATCTGTGAAGGAGTCATCACTGCTCCAGATGGTGTTGAATGCATACTTCAGATGCTGGGAGAAGTTATTCCACTTCAGGCAGTACTGCTGACCATCCATCTGCAATGTCATATTGCTGTGATTTCATTCACCTCAACACATAGTATTGCACCACCTTGTTTACATAGCCATTGATCTAACCTATAAGTATGGGAATATGGAATCAGGCATTGTTATTTAATGCTTATACTAGCATTAAATATAGTCTATCATACAGTTAGTTTTACATTCTTCTCCCTATGGCTGGAAAGGACTAACATCAATATTTCAACTGCTTAAAAATGGTCAGATACCCAGTTTCAGCTAAAACCTGGAATCTGCAATTTATACAGATAAGAAATCAGCATGACTGGCTGCTCACACTTCTTTGAAATCTGACCTCAGGTGCTGCAGGGCTGGCTTTTGGGTTGAGTCCTTACAAACATCCTGACCCCACTACTCTAGTAGAGCAATTCCAGATTGTCAGAAAATCTTTGCCAGAAGATTTTAGCATGCCATGTGATGATGCAGTGCATCCTCCTCCTGTTCACACTGGCTCTCTTGGCAGTTGTTACATGGCCATCAATGATCATCTGTATAGGCACAGTCTCAGGGAAGAGTTCATGGACATCACACAAGGTCAGTGTCTGGCATCCTACCAACTGAACTATAGGGATAGATTATCACCACCTGCATTTTAAAATTACTTGCACTACAATTCTAATTAGAGCATGTTGCAATATCAGTCTGTTGCAGGTACCTCAACCTTTGATACAAAAAAATGCTAATCCATTTAAGCGCATAATTTGGATTCCTACCTTTTTGCCACCACAAGCTGCTAAGGGCTTTACATGATGTCTGGGCTGGGCAACCAAAGATGCCATATTCCTCTTAAGATGACATTGAGTCAAGCTCAATTAGCTGGAAAACTTGTACAAAACTATTCCTAGTAAGTATAGGTCCATTGACATGAATGGACTGAGCAACGTGGAACAAACAAAAAAGCACCACATCATAAAAACACCCCTGGCATTGCTGTTTTGCATAATAAGTATTTTTGGCAATCTAGGTCCATTGACATGAATGGACTGAGCAACTTGGAACAAACAAATAAGCACCACAACATAAAAACACCCCTGGCATTGCTGTTTTGCATAATAAGTAATTTTGGCAATCTGAATATAGAATGGTTGATATTATGACCCAAAACTTGACAAGTAACACTTCTAAGTAACAACACAGTACACAGAATGAATATAGTTTTGTTCTCAAGGGTTGGTCAGCAAGGCACTGGGTAAAACTAACATGGACAGTCTGGTCCATGATACATGACTGATCTTGACAAGACCTCACAGAGAATTGCAGTTCCTAAACTTAATTAAGGGAAGTCTTCCAAAATGCTGCAACAGAAATTGCTGAAATGTGACACCTAATGCTGTCTTGATGAACCACATACAATCATGGGGACCTCACCTCTGTCAATCTGCTGAGAAAGAATGTAAAGGAGAGCAATAATTGTAGAGGCTGCTGCAAAAAGCAGCTTGCTGCCCCATGAGGAACAGACTCCAGCCTGTACCACCAAACATCTATTACTTTGGTAGGTACCTATCTGCCATAGTTTGCAGGCTGAGTAACAGTCCAAGCAACACCACATTGCACTGTTGGGAGCTGTTTTTCACATCAGACATGCTGGTAAAAGACACGTGTGTGCAACTCCTGATTGATACCTTCTGCACCCAGTTGTAATGTCCTGGGCCAACTGTTCCAAGCAGACCAACATAAGCACGTGCAACGCACACGTCACGACAAAATGCCACAAAACTACAACGCCCTGCGCTGTGAACAAAAATGTGCATGTCACCGCAAACTATACCTTTCTGCTCACTTATAAGTGAGTTGGGCGAACCGCTTCCCCCAGCTACTCTACGGCGCCGCCAGCGCAAATGGCCGCCGACTCCAACGTGACCTCGTATGGGGACGGGATGACCTCGTCTCGCGGCGCGGCACCGCTTCCGCCGTCCTTGCGCGAATTTGCTGAAATTATCCCGTCACCAATTTAAAAAACAACAAATAGGTAGAGCATGTTTAATTTTTAGGATAGAGATAACTTTATGCCACTTTAGGCCCTCAAGCAATATCTTATAATGTGACCCACTCTCCGATCATACAATGAACCGGTTCACTTTTAATTAGATAACTCGTGATCACCACTACATTCCCATCATTTCAACCCCACTTCATCTTTTGGGCCTTACTTAAGTCCTGAATTTAGTCAGGTGGTATTTTTTTGTTATTTAAGGCCTCTCGCATCTGGAGTCTGACACTCAGATTTTACTGTTAATTCTGAACATACAAAAGAAAGTTTACTATATTGTTTCACAACTATTGTATGCTACATATGTGGCGCATCTCTTTGCAGGCCTAAGTCGACTGCTACATTCCATGACGGGGTTGTGGTGGAAGGCGTTGCGGGAAACTTTTGGGGTGCGCTGCGGGGCACCTAATTTGAGTGAGGGCGGAGATCATTGATCTCCCCTTTCTTCGTTGGTACATATTCCCCGTGCTATGCATTTTGTATACAGTTCGCTATCAAACTGCAGCTTAAAGTGAAGTCTGTGTGGTTGGACCCGGCGGCCTCAGCCCGGTAGCTTGGAGCTTGTAAGTTGGTCTTACTTTACGTTCTCCAAGCTTGCAATATTCAGGAATCACAAAGCAACATGATAATCAGATATCGATTTCATCAGACTTATAAGCATAATAAATGTGGACCTTATGACATGGTGTATGGTTGGGTCTGCTGAGGTTGCATGCTACATTTCAGGGGGTTATTGAGAATGCTCAGGCAATGGCATGGGAATGGGGCACAGGACATATCTGTTAAAAGAATACCTATGCTGTGTGGAACTTACAGTGACAGTGATGTGCCAAATTTTGCACATGCTGATGCTGTATGCAGGTCTTGTTGAATGTTGGTGACCTTGTGCCTTAATTGAACTTTAAGTTGTATCTCATATTTGTGGTTCAGGGCATGTCAACTATGCTAAATATTAGCTCAAAGCTGTTATTGTTACATGTGATAGGGATGATTTTCTTGGCATTACTATTGCATTGCATTAATTCCTTGTATCACTGCCCCTCAATTGGCCGGAACTACTGAATGTTGTTCACCAAACTAGTACTCAGGTTTATGGTATACAGTCTACAATTTTTGATGCAATTTGTTCACTATTTGTCCTGTTTAGCCTGGCACAGGGTGCATGACTCATGCCCTCTCTCTTGCTTCCAATTCAGTTGAAATTTCTCTGCCACTCAGTCCAGTTATAATCATGATATCTGTCATAAGCTTACTTTCAGTGCTCATGTCCAGTATAGTGCATTGCACACATACTAGACATGAACCCTGGGCACATTGAACTCATTGAAATTATGTGAGTCAGGTACTAATCGGGTTAGGATGTATTTGAAGCCAGTCCATCTCTGTGACAAGAAGACCAGCCTGCTAAGAAATCCATCTACTTCCTGGGACCACTAATTGGAGTTTATGGGCAAATCTGATCCATGTTTGTGTGATGTACAGTTCAGGTTCAGTGATGTAGAATTTTGATATGATTATTGCAGAAAGCAGTGCTTAAGGTTATGTGAAAATATGTTTTGCATAACATGCTATTGTGATGTCCTAATTCCTTAGTACATTTACTTTTCATGCATCAAAATAAGTGACAACTATGCACTGAGGCACTCAGATGCATGGCATATATCTGCTGAAATGTTCTGGTGCAATGTTGTCACTGCATGAAGTGTTCAGTTTTTTGTTGAAATTATCAATGAAATATTAATTTGAGGCAGTAAACAGTGAATTTCTTGATAGGCAAATTAAATTGCAAAATATTCCTGATGCATGGTGCTTGTCAGAAGAAATGTGATGCAACCAAGCCTCTATCATCCCTGTAGCAGGAATAGAGTAATTTATTGCACTGACATGGTAGGTACTTTGAATGGTGACATTTACCATCAGTTGGTACTGATGATCAGCTTGGAAAATAATGATAAAACAAAACAGCCTGCTAACAACTCTATGAGTTTGAAATATGATAAATAGGCAGTGGCAAAGCACTGAGTCAAAGAACTTTAAAGATGTGGGCCTGTAAAATATTATGCCCCTTGCTGTCAAGTAGTTTGCTCCAGTCCTGCAGAACCTTAGGAATGGCTGAGTTTGGAAAACCAAATATACAGGGTTTGATTTCCTGTGGCACTTGCCCTTTCCCCTGGAATGGGAGGCAGGCAACACCATATAACCTCAGCATGTGAGAGTGTTGTAAAGCCTCTCCCCTCCCCCCCCCCCCCCCCCCCCCCCCCAGTGAGGACAAATAGCTGGGTGTGTGACTAGTGTGATTAGTACTGTGGTTAAAAGTTGCCTAGGTTTTTGTTGATAGGTGCTCATCACAGCTTTTGTTAGATGAGCGGAGTCCTTGAAAGCATTTTCTGAATCAAGAGTTGACATGTACTCAATTACCCTGAGGGTTATGTTGATAGCATTGTTTATTTAGATTTAGATATGATTAGTTAAATTTCAAGGATGTTATGGATGATTACATGACTCCTTAAGATATCAAAATATGAGATGTGAAGATGGGTAAGTTAGTTATTGGGTTTTAAGTGCACATCAACCTCATTGTTTGTGTAGAGTGAAGATAGCAGGCAAGCAGGCAGGCAGAAGAGTTATAGTAGGCACATTAACACCTGTATTGTTGCCACCCATCTGTCATCTTGCTGCATCATACATTTAGGCCAGTCATTCTAAGTTCTGTGTTGTAATAATCCCTAATAACTGCAGTTTATTTAAATGATTGTGGTGGAGGTAGAACTTTACTTTTCCAAAGCAGTCAGTGCCTTTCCAAACATTACTGTTACAATCAACTGAAGTGTCTGGCTGGGAGACCTGTATTGCGGTCATTAACTAAGGCTTGCAGCCAGCTCCCTTTCTTTGGATTACTCTTAAAGTGACAAAGTACTGTGTGATGCATTGCTAAGGATGACCTGCTAGCTTTGTGAAGCAGAGAAGATGCTGCATGAATTGGATGCCACCCTGGGAGCTGCATAATTCTGCAGAGACCCAACATTAGGTGGAAGTCACTATGGATATTGGTGTTTTTGTAAGTTTCCCATGCAGTGTGATAGGCATAATGTTAGCTCCACATCAGGCAGGAACTGCTCCCCTCTAACCTGCCCCTGGCGCTGGCAGAGCCCAAGCAAGCTTATCTGGAGGTGGTTGGCCACACGGTGTCGTGGGGCACCATCATTGGATGACAAATGCTCCAACTCGTTTGTGCATCGAGATTGGCGCTTGGGCTGGGACTGATCATCTGTTCTTTGGTCACGGACCGCACCAGACCATCACACAGATAATGATCTACAGAGGCGAGACGTCCGTCGGCGTCAGCGGAGTCCACATGTTATTTTTGCCGGGCAGATTTGGATCCGGCATGTCGGTTCCACAAGATAGGGCTTCCTCGTTGTGAGCTACGTCGGTGCCTCGTCCTGCTTTGCTCTGCTAGATTTCTTAATGATAGTTTGACAGCTGAGGGAGTGGTCCAGTGGGCCCCATGTGTTCTCCCCTCCTCAGCTGTCGCTGGAACGCTCACCTCTCATGCCTGATCTGGAAAAGGTAATCCGAATCTTTTGAATGGATGAATTTCTGGGATCAGAGCTCACGCTGAGCAGCGGTCGTTTTGCAAGTCCTGATCCTTGCCATCCGATCGGGCGATCCCAGGTCAGCGACAGAATTTGGTGGCGAAAGTTTAACGTGCCGCAATGTTCGGCACGGTCCTTCCTGCCCCCTGACGCCAACTGGCCTCAGCGCGGCCGCTGCCACCGGCCGCATGCCACAACTGTCAAGGGCAAGTAGCGAGCACTTAAAGCGACTCGAGCCCATCTCACCACGGGTGGGGACTCGGAATGCGGGCGCTCTAACCAGCTGAGCCATTGGGATTGGATGGCGAGCCATACGCATGCGTATCATGGTGCTCGCCCGAGATCAGAGGGATTTTGTCGTCCGCGCCTGGCGCTTATCGGAACTCCCGCGTCGGGCAGCCGCCGGCGCTCCGTCGGAAGGCATCGACCCTACCTGCCCTGTTTTGGCAACTGCTATCAGTCCGCTGTCGAAGCCGCTTGTGGTTAAGTTGGAGCATTACTGCAGCGTGAGATAAGAACGAATTGCAGCTGATAAGGCTGCGTTGTTCAACAGCCATCGTAACAAGAAACTTGACGGCCGCCCAGATACGGGCCGTCCCTCTTATGCGTGGGCCATCGATGAATCACGACTGCCCTTCCCGGATGTGGGCCGTGTGGACGCAGTACGTGTGCCCTCTTCACGAATGTGTGCCGAGCGGCCAGTGTTGGCTGCGTGCGTGCGCGCGCGCCGCTGCGGGGCATCGACACGGCCCGTACTCAGCCGGCGTGATCAGTGGGGCGAACGCTTGTCGCCGTGCGCGGGCGCTGTTGGTCGACTGGATTGGCTCGCTGGACTTGGGACGGACGGTATCTCTGTGGGCTGAGTCGGTCCGGGAGGGTGCCGATACTGTAGTGGTCAACGCGTCTGCGTTAACCACTGCGCGTCTGGGAAACCAGAGGTACGGGGTTCGATTCCCCGCGGCGCCCGCCCTTCCTGCCAGGGTGAGAGGCAGGCGGCGCCATATAGCCTCAGCAGCTGAGTGCGTCGTAAAGCCCCAGTGACATGATCTGAGTCGGTCCGGGCACGGCGTCCATCAATTGATTCCGCCAGTTGTCGGAGGCGCGGGTCGGTACAGCTTTGTTCGATCACATTTGTGGTCGGCTGGCATAATGCAGTTTGATTCACAAGCAATTAAGGATATCTAATTTTATCCGTGGAATATATCGTATAGTGTAAGGAATGAACTACCGTATGCTCTATCGGGGCAAATGATTACTTTGTTGTCAAGCACGCTGTGGCGGAGAGAGAAGCGCCCTTTTCTGCGTTGCAACCAGGAGGTGTTCAGCTCTTCGCAACGCATGTTAATGTCATGCGGCAGATCGCGTGACCGCCACGCCCCCGGCCTGTGTGGGTCGGCCGGTCGGCGCTGACGCCGCTCCCTGGTGACGCTCGCCGCCTCCGCAGGCGTGCGTGACGACACCGCCGCGCCATGGGCAACCGAAACTCGCTGTGCTGCGAGGGCGGCTCGCCGCCGGTCGGGCGCCGCTCGGTCCGGGAGGACCGGTACGCGCCGGGCACGGGCGGCGCCGGCGCCGGTGACGCCGGCGCCGCCCAGCCGGACGGCCGCGAGCCGCAGCGGTCGCGCGACGAGTCCGTCACCAACCTGCAGCACATCAGCGAGCGCGAGCCGGACGACCTCAACGACGACCCGTCGCTGCACCCCACCGTCGGCCCGCTGTTCGTCGAGCGCAGCAAGTCCAGCATCGAGAGTGAGTGCGGTGGCGCGCGCCGGTCGCGACGGCGGAGGAGAGAGAGAGGGGGGGGGGGGGGGGAGATGCATGCACGCTCGTGTCCGGACGGTCGTCCCACCATGCCGCGGTGGCAGTGGTTGCAGTATAGTTTCCTTTTGCGTAATCTGCCGGGCTCAAGCTTCATGTTATGCAGGACAATTGCGAGGCTGTAGGCGTCTTGTATGTATTGTTGCGTCTTGTATATTGTATGGATTGCGACACTTGTGTTGCGTTTGAATGGTTTGTGCAGGCGGCCTTACATCTCCTGTCAAGTTCCGTGCAGACTATGATTGTAGCTAGGAACAATGAGTGAAAATGCCCGGCAAGTAATGCTAGTTTCCGAGAATCCCACGGTCACGCAACACCAAGAATCGAGCCAAGTCAGCCACCGCTCCACGGGCCAGCATTCCAGACTGTGACCACTCCCAGCCGGCGTCCCTTGGACCCGCAGCCTAGCGGGCCGGCGCCTGTGACGCGTTAGCGCGTGTGTGCCGCGGGTGCCGCCGGCAGGGCGTCTCGCTGCGCTAACGATCCGCCCCTGTGTGTGTCCTCAGACGGCATGATACGGCGGCGGAGCAGGAACACGGTGAGTGCCACCCGCACGGTCGAGGGGGGGGGGGGGGAGAGGGGGTGGGCACGAGGCGGGGCAGGGCAGGTGCGCGCGGATGTCGTGCTTATGAGCCGGTGCGTCGCATCGCGTGTGTGTTGTGTGTGTGTTGTGTTGGTGTGTCCACATTTTGTGTGCCTTTGCTCGCCGGGACCTGTGCACTGTTCTCGGGCCCCGGCGTTGGCCAGCTGGCCGCCCCGGCGTTCGCCACTGGCTGCCGCTCGTCGCTTGTCTGCTGTCCGTGGGCTGGGAGCACGGTCCTGCTGGCCAGCGTTCTGCCACTGGGAAGCGGAAGCAAGCCACAGACGAGAGCGATGTGAATGCTGGCGGTCAGTGGGCCGTCGAGCCTCATAAACCGGTCGCCACGCAGAGCTGCAGTTGTAAATGGATTACTGAACGCGAGGTCGTGGCCAGAGGGAGACACCTGAGACGGGAGGCCATGCTCAGCTTGAGAGGCCCGACCTGACCGTCGCGCTCTCGATGGGCGCACAGCTCTGCAGTCGGTGAGCGTAACTGGCTGCGGTTCTCGGCCACAAGTCGCCCAGTTATGTGAGAAAGTCTGAGTGTAGAAAGAGAACAACGAGGGTCGGAATCTGGCGGAGGAGATATTGGCATGCTGGTCCCGCGACGTCGTGGGAATAGCATATTTTGATCGAGAATGGAAAGAGCTATGATATTGCCATGCGTGTGCTTGACTGTGTGCAACAGGGCATGCACATTCCATGACAAATCGTGGGTCCTTCAGTTTTGGGTGTTGTAAAGAACTGAAGCCGAATCCCGACAGTTATTCTCTTAACGTACTGTATCCACCGGATTTTATTCACCTGCGCCAATGCTTGGCATGAGCGAATAGATCTCGTCTAAAAATACACCCAGTTCAGCACTGCTTGGTCTGATCGGACTTCTGCAGTTTCCGCCCGGGAAGTGGCTAGCGTCGCTCCTGAAAGACCGGTTTCGAATGCGGCCCGCCGCGGCCTCAACCGATAGAGACGGCGCTGAAAGGCCACGCCGGTTTATTGTGATCATTAGCGGCCAGAAGTCCATTTCGTTTTTTGTGAACGTTTTGGTGATGATCGAGGAGCATGGAAATGAACCAAAGCTCAGTGATTTCTTCGCTGCGAATGGCAGGGATTAGGCTCACCTCCATCCGGTTGCCAATTAACCTCATTTAGTAATTATTGCGCTAATGCACTGGGCGAGCCTGCTTCTTTTCTAACACATTTCTGAAAACAAACTTCGTAGTGTCTTCATTGTCTTTTGTTTCATTGTTTAGTGTCATTGTCATTGTTTCCCTTTTTATATTGAAAAATTGCTGCCGTAGCCCCTCCAAACGGGCGAGGGATCCTAAGAAATCCAAGATGGCGCTGAGACCATCAGCCGGCTGGCACAGCTCTTCAATCCATGGCCAAAAATGGCAACACGTTGTTAAAATGGTGTTGAAAACGGCTGGGAAACCCGATTGGATGAGAATCCCGTCAGAGGGCCAAGGTACGACGCGGGCCGCCAGAACTTTGAAAACCTCGCATCAAACAGCGCGATCCCAAAACGCGTGTGGCATCTGGATATCCTTGCTCTGGTGTCAGAATAACATCGACAGGCAAATTCGGAGTCGATTGAATGGCTGTGCGCCTGTTGTGTTTCCGTTAGCTTCCAGCGGGGACCAGACGTTTTGCGTCCAGGACACAATAGCCAGGTGGCCTCCAAACTCTTGGGTAATGTGTTCCGGGTAATGTGCAAAACACATTCCCTGGTTTGGGTTACCCGTGTGGCAGGGTCAGTGCCCATGCAGTAAGCCATGCTTGGGAAGGGCCTGATCTCTCACGCTACTCGAGCTAGCAGCCTATACGAATGAATGTTAACCAGTTCACATGGCAATGCCCATTTGCGTCAAGGCAGATGGATTTTCCTATTTGTGAGCCGATTGATCTTCTTTTCCTTTTCTCATTGTTATGCCCCGCTAGAGCCCTTCATCCGTTTACAAAATGAGGGGCGTTGACATGCCTCAAGCCGTAATGGCTGCACAGGGAGCGATCAGAACTGTACGCAAACTGATTGCAACCGCGCATCGGAAACTTAAGTACTCGCGTATCTGTACTCGCTACAGTATGTTACGCCCTTGTATTCACCACTAACAGCCTCGTGATTCGTGTGCTCCCCTTAACCGGGCATTGACAGGGGAGGGCCTCAAATCTGCCCCCTCTCTAACATTCGTTATAATTCAAAAACGCCTCGAGATATCGCTGCGTTTTTTTTTGTAGCTGCTAATTTTTAACTTGTATGCATCGTGTCAAAATCGCAACTATGAGATAATGATAGATCAAGCGTGAGTGACGTCAGAGCGACGTCATGTTTGTCGTTTGTTTTGACAAAAGCGCATGGCTGTAGTTAAATTGACGTAGAGGGCGTACTAAAGAACATGTTTTACATCGGTAAACAAGAAATGTGAGGCAATTAGCCTGTCATTTATGTGCCTTGTCGATGGGTTGTTTGAACGTTGGGCTTTGAAATATTGACACGTCAAATAACGAATATATGTTAAAAAGTACACCCAACGTATTTTGGTCTCAGACTTAAAATTAGGAAGGCATTGCACACCGTATGCTAGATACGGCTATGAAGGCAGCCTCTACCAAGTTTCAAGCAATTGTCTGTAACAATGACTGAGTTATGGCTTGGAATGCTTCACAGCGCACGCTGCCCGTGCCCAGATGCCCGGCCCGCGGCGGAGGGCGGCGGGGCCCGGGTCTGCCGCTGCGGCGCGGTGACGTGGCGGCGGAAGCTGCTTATCAGTTTCATACTCAAACCCGACGACTGCGTGACTGGCGGCGGACTTGAAGGGTATTAGGTTGCGCTGTCGACAAGATTAGACACTCAAAAACAGCGCGAAAATCGACCCAACCGCTTATTCGACACCGAGGTTGTCCATTGCATGCTGACCTTAGACGATTTATGAAGAAGTAGTAGCTCTTGCTCACTTATCTGGTACCCATAATTGCGGTTTATCTCATCCACTTTGCGCTTAGATGGTGTAAATATGACGAAAATAAATGGATCAAAACAAATCTCTATATGGAGACTTCAGCTGTCATTTGCACGGCATGTGGCCTTCTTTCCAGGCTTAGTACGGCACGTGAACATTGGATACCTACCTATGTAGCATGTTTGAATAGGGTGCAATTATATCGCACCATGAGATACGCCTTGAAATGCCTGGTGGAGCGGTCAGGTATTCCAAAGTATATTTTTCATAATTTGGTCTTGACCTTTGACCTTAATACACACTTAAACAAGTTTGTTGTTTGGACGAGGATCATACGCCGCGACGCTATCGACAGCAGTTTGAATTTTTAATTCGGCCGGGCCGTTCTTGAGTTAGGGAGGGAGGGTCAGATCTCCTCCCGGCCGGTCAGTGGTATGCCGCTGAGGGGTCCGGTCAGTGCTGAGTTAACCGTGACTGAGATATATGTCACGGACTTCCGAGCTCCTGGCTGTTTTGGTTCTCAATGCACATACTCGTCGCCCGCCGATCGTCGCAGTCAGGGCGCTCGTCACCCGCCGATAGTCGTTGTCAGGGCGGTCTAATTGGTGTCCGTTTGGCCCGGTCGTCAACACCGCGGTTTTTCGCCCTCCGGTCGCCTCGAAAGCTTTTTTATTATTCACCGTTGGCCCTGTCTGTCTCGTGGTACCTTGATACCATAAGAGTCCACCTGTTTGAATGACATCGTGGAATCCCCCATCATCTCAGTTTGGCAGTTGAGCCTTGTCATGCCTGACAGTAGCACCCTTATAATATATGCTAGTGAGACTACACCACGCCGGGAATACAGCAATTTTTTTTTGGTGGGGGGGGGATAGTAAATGAAGGGTCCGGACCCTACCCCTTTCACCCTTCCACACTGCGTTTTCTGCATCGTGACTGAGGGTCTCAGGGAAACCTTGTGATAACTTGCAACTTTGTAAACGGAAAGAAAACCCAAAGTTCTACTCGCGGCTAGTTGTATTCGATAGTTGCATTGTGATCAGATATAAAACGGAATCCTAGAATAGGGATGAAGGTTTTTTGAGCGTTTGAGTTGAAAAAGACGTAAGCGGATGACTGCACTCATCGCGAATGGTTTCGAAACTCTCCAGGATGTTTTCGCCTCTCATGCACTTACGCATGCTTTCGGGAAAACGACGGCTGACGAGATGAACCTTATGGTCCTCCGGCTCCACCTTGAAAATGATGGCAATCAGAGCAGAACGTGCTTTAGAACATTCCCAAGCCATCATCTCTCAGTGCAATATCTGACGGACGTTTAGGTGTTCTACCACGACCTGTGCGCACTGCTTTATGCCATTTATTGCATCACTGCAATTTCCTGTAATCGTCCTACCGACCCAACACACAACTCTCGTGCGTAGCGTGCGTGCGGCGACGCGCGCCGTTAGAAGCAGCGGCACGGCCCGCACGCGTACGGACGGCAGCCTCCTCGCGCTCGCCACAGCTGGCTGGGCCGTGGGCCAGGCCCGCCACGCTCTGTGACACTCGGCCGCTGCCGCCGACGGATCCGACTCTGCTCGGCGCCGCGGGCGGGTTTTTGCAGCGGCGCGATGGCGCGCTCCGTCTGCTGTTCGCGCCATTTCAAGGCTGGCGCCGGAAAGCTATAGATCACTGAATCAGATGATTGTGATGGGCGGGTTTTGCAGATCGTGAACGTCGGAGGCTGCGGATAAATGGAATGTTTTTACTGCCGCGAATGACAGCTGATGTAAGCGGTGTTAATGATCTGAGATTTTGGTGGGCGAAGCTATTTCTCTGTGGTATGGCAAACATGGCACACCGAGACGGAGAAAATTGCGGTGGTTGCTTTTGCTCTGAATGAATCGCTATGACGGCTGCCTTTAGACGCTGGGCAAGGCTGGCTGTTTCGTTATGTTGCGAATGCTTTTAGTTCATCGGTAAGTATCTATAATATATGATCAGTGATCGATAATCTCGTATTGGTCGTGGTGGTGAGCCATTTTCCTCACCGTTGGACGAATATGTGAAGCTATTAGATGATCGATGTGGATTGAGTATGGGACGTTGGTCCTCGTCAACGATCTGGATAAGACTAGTTTCACGATGGGTGAGAGTCATTGTCCTCCAAGCAATTTGAGCTGTCCCCTGTACGTCGTTCCAAACATGCCATCTAAAAGTGAATTGGTACACCTTGCAGCCGCAAGTGAGCGGCCAACGGCCAACGCCCAACTTCAGTTGGGTGCAAATAGATAAGCCACCAGAGCCCATTAGCTTGCGAAACTCGTAATCATCTAATGTTTCCGGAAATGGCGGGGTCAGGACGACCGGCTGCCTGGCTATGCATGCTCCAGTAGGACGCTGTCGTAACCTGCGCCTAGCTGATGCTCCGCGCCAGCCTCGAGCGGCTGGGGGGAGGGGGCACTGCCTCCTGCCGGACCTCTGTTTTGCGCCTTAGATTATCATGAAATTAGTAGGGTGTATGTGTCATGCATTTGGATGGACGTGGGTGTCTCATGCGTTTCACGTATGTGTGTTTAACAGTGACCGGTGGTGTCACGACGCTGGGCCCGGCTGTGCCGTCTGCGCGCTGTTGGTCGACCGGTGGTGTCACGACGCTGGGCCCGGCTGTGCCGTCTGCGCGCTGTTGGTCGACCGGTGGTGTCACGACGCTGGGCCCGGCTGTGCCGTCTGCGCGCTGTTGGTCGACCGGTGGTGTCACGACGCTGGGCCCGGCTGTGCTGTCTGCGCGCTGTTGGTCGACCGGTGGTGTCACGACGCTGGGCCCGGCTGTGCTGTCAGCGCGCTGTTGGTCGACCGGCCCGATATGCTGCCGCCATTCTCGCTATAAATCAGTCAGCTGTGGACATAGAGGGGTAATATTAGCCTGGCTCAGTGTGGAGTCATTTGGGGAACAACCATGGTGCTGGCTTGGATAATGTAGTCAATCATCCGCATACGGCTGATAAGGCGTCGAAAGCTCCACCCCCTCCCCTCCCCCCCCCCGCCGTGCGCGGTTCGACCCGCCAACAACAGCGGTGGTGAGAGCTAATGACGTGTCCCACGGCTCCAGCTGATCGAGGACCGACCGCTGGTCAAGAGCAGCAGCTGCTCCACCATCTTTATCGACGACAGCACGGTGTCGCAGCCCAACCTGAAGAACACCATCAAGTGCGTGGCGCTGGCCACCTACTACCACATCCGCAACCGGTCAGCCGACCGTACGCTCGACATCTTCGACGAGAAGCTGCATCCGCTAACGGTGAGTCACGACCCCTATCCGCTCAACTGGGCGGGGGCTCTTGGAAGCTGCATCCGCTCACGGCGAGGTATGAGCCCTATTTGCTCAATTGGGCGGGGAGGTCTTGGAAGCTGCATCTGCTAACGGTGAAAAGTTTCACCTGCTCACGGCTAGCGAGAAGCTGCACTTGCTCACATTTGGCATGAGAAGCGCCCAACGATGAGAACGTGCACCATCGCAGTGAGGCTCGAAGCTGCACCATCACAGGGTGGGTAGAAGCTGCACCATCGCAGGGTGGGTAAAAGCTGCGCCATCACAGGGTGAGTAGAAGCTGCGCCATCCCAGTGAAGGTAGAAGTTGCACCATCGCAGGGTGTGTAGGAGCTACACCATTCCAGTGAAGGTAGAAGTTGCATCATCACAGGGTGTGTAGAAGCTACACCATTCCAGTGAGGGTAAAGGCTGCGTTATCACGGGGTGTGTAGAAGCTACACCATTTCAGTGAGGGTAAAGGCTGCGTTATCATAGGGTGGGTAGAAGTTGCACCATCACAGTGAGGGTAAAGGCTGCGTTATCACAGGGTGGGTAGAAGCTACTTCATTCCAGTGAGGGTAAAGGCTGCGTTATCACAGGGTGGGTAGAAGCTACTTCATTCCAGTGAGGGTAAAGGCTGCGTTATCACAGGGTGGGTAGAAGCTGCACCATTCCAGTGAGGGTAAAGGCTGCGTTATCACAGGGTGGGTAGAAGCTACACCATTCCAGTGAGGGTAGAAGCTGCGCCCGCTCAAGTTGAGGGGCTGCCCTCGCTCAGTCATGGTAAGCGGCCGCATGCGGTTCGTAAGTTTAAAAGTTGCGCCCCTCACGGGAAGTGGGGGAACGGCAACTGAATACCGTGAGTGAAAGACTGCACCCGCTGCGAAGTTGTAAGCTTGTTATCGGGACACTAGCCCCCCCCCCTCCCCTCTGAACCGCACATTTTGATGACCATCGCTGTGTTGCCCCCTTCCTCCTCTCACCCCCCCCCCCCTCCCCTCCCCTCTGAACCGCACATTTTGATGACCATCGCTGTGTTGCCCCCTTCCTCCTCTCCCCCCCCTCCCCTCCCCTCTGAACCACACATTTTGATGACCATCGCTGTGTTGCCCCCTTCCTCCTCTCACCCCCCCCCCTCCCCTCTGAACCGCACATTTTGATGACCATCGCTGTGTTGCCCCCTTCCCCCTCTCACTCCCCCGCTGGACAGTTAAAAGTAAAGCTAAAGTAGGCTAGGGTCTACGGTGTGCTAAGGGTTTATTTTACAATTTTCCGGGAAACGCGTCAGCTCCCCACATGTTTGGACCGCACTTTGCACAAATTAACCATTACTCTTCCGTACTACGTTTACGTAAAGCATGTCATACAAATGACTGAACAAGAGTCCTGATACAACCACCCATAAGCACTATATTTGTGTTACCCCGCTCGCGCACTGCTGTGAAGTCCAGGTACGGGCGCGGCGCCGGTGCCGGCCGCCGTCGGCAGTCGTCTCCAGCAGCAGGCGCCGGCGGCGTCGGGGCGCCGGGGCCGACAGGTGCGTTAGCGGAGCGCGGGCATCACACGCGGCGCCGGCGCTCACTCCATTAGGCTAACAGGGCGGCGGCCGGGCCGGCACGCCACGCCGGCGTGAGGGAGCGGCCCGAGGGGAGGGGAGGGGCGTCACCAGCCGGGGCTGCGCGGGCCGGCGAGGCGGCGTGAGGCGCGGAGCTCGGACGACGCCGAGAGGAGAGCGGGACAGTGTGAGGCCGAGAGTCACGTGGACTGGTCGGCCTGTGGCACCAGACGCGCTGGTTAAAAACGACACAAACTTCTCGCCTATGTTCGATCGCGCGGCGGTGGAAGGGGGAGGGACAGGGTGGCGGACTCCCCACTGACGGGTGGTGTCTCTCTGCTGTGTGTTTTGTTCAGCTGCGTATTAATCGATCCGGCATGGCTGCGGGGGTCGCGCGCTGGCGGTCGAGTCACCGCCTCACCGGCGACACATCCCGTCTCGCCGGTGTCATCACCGCTGTAACGGTCACGCCGCCGCCCGGCCGGCATGGCTGCGGGGGTCGGGCGCTGGAGGTCGAGTCACCGCCTCACCGGCGACACATCCCGTCTCGCCGGTGTCATCACCGCCGCAATGGTCACGCCGCCGCCCGGACGGCCCGGCTGTGTTGTTCCGGCGTGGCCTTCGGTCACGTCGCGCCATGCCGAACCGGCCGCTGCGGCATTTTCAATAATGGCGCCGTGCGTGCCGGAGCGGCCGGGCCGGGCGTGAGATCGCTGGGACGGTGCGTGTCATTGCGCTTCTGGCGTCCGCGCGGTTCGAGAAAGGTGCAGGGGTGGGCGCCGCCGGAGTGAGACCGTGCGCGTTGCCGCTGTCTGGGGCAGGGGACCGTCAGGCACTCATATATCATTTGTGTTCAGCATGTCTGGGGACCTAGCTGCGCTGCCGCCTTCGAACGGCCTCCTGTCACCGGCCGTCCGCCTGATCTAATTTCCCCGGGGGCCGCGGCCGGCCGGATTGGCGGGCGCCGCGTGACAGCCGGGCGCCCGCCTCTGACTGACGGCTCGCGTCGCCGCCCTGCTGCCGCAGAAGGACGGCGTGGCGGACGACTACGACCGGCACATCCCGGAGCATCGGCAGATCTACAAGTTCATCCGCACGCTCTTCACCACGTCACAGCTGACGGCCGAGTGCGCCATCGTCACACTCGTCTACCTGGAGAGGTAGGCCGGCTGGTCGGTCGGTCGGTTCGCCGCCAGGCTGGTGTGCCGCGGTCCGCGGTGTAGGCTCCGGCCCCTGCGTTTAGCCGTCGTCGGTGCTGTAACCCGGTCAGGTTTCGGTGGGTCCGATACGTGGTGTGCAGGTATGGGTGTGTTTGGGATTACCCCCATTATTGCTGCCTGAGAGCCCCATCACAATAACCAATTGGCACGAACTGAAGCAGTCACCAGCACACCGGCAAACAGCCAACACCTTGCAGTGGAGCATTGCGCTTGAGACCGCGCAGGGACGTATGGGCTGTACAAGGCTTATCTTGAATCCAATGGCAAGGCGTGTACGCAGCGGCCGGCTGGCAAGCTGTTGCGGCGTCCGGCACGGCACGGCCATAGCAGAGCGCCGCACAAATTGCGCAGACCCGAGGGCTGGGTGTGACAGGTCACCGGTGTCAACAGGCAGGGCTGGTACGAGGCGGCCTCGTACGGTTGGGCACGGTAGACGGCCAACAGCGCGCGCGCAGATCAGACCGGAAACACTGAGACGGTGCGGCGGCTGGCATGTCATTACCATTACCATACCATACCATACCATTACCTGCTGACACGGCACCGCGAGCAACACACGCACCTCATCTGTGTGGCCTTAAACTCCTGCCAACGCTCTATGCGCTGTTATGGCTAAAACGCAGCCTAAAGTAGAAAGGATGTATGGAAGAGCCAGGGCACAGCAGACTAGGGAGGAATAAGCAATGTAAAGTGATGGTATGCATGTGTCGAGAGTGTGTATAACTCCCAAACCATTCGTTTCACCTGGTGTGGCTGGCTGAACCCATGACTGACTTTTGAAACCAGATACATTTCGTGAAATGACTGATGAATATTTGAAACTGGATGTGTCATTTTCGGCTGCATTTGGAATTTTGCATTCGCTCAGCTTGAAAGGTCATGATGTATGAATGCCAATGATAGTGAGCGAAGTGCCAGCTTTAGTTGGTCAATCCGGATTGGGTACATAAATTGGGGAACGGTCAGATTTTGTGGACGGATTGGATCCTCGCATTGGGTTGGATCCATGGATTGGGTTGGATTTCGGATTGGACTGGATCGTTGGATTAAGCTGGATTCTTGGATTGGATTGGGTCCTTAGATTGGGCTGGATCATTTGATTGGGTTGGATCCTTGGATTGGGCTGGATCTTTGGATTAAGTTGGATCCTTGGATTTGGCTGGATCTTTTGATTGGGTTGGATCCTTGGATTGGGTGGGATCCTTGATTAAGTTGGATCCTTGCATGAGATTGGATCCCCGCATTGGATTGGATCCTTGACTCAGCGGACCCGATACGCATATTTAGCTCCGTGGGACGTGTAGCGTAAACACTACCGCCCGTACCAGCAGCTGTTGTCTGCTGCGAGGCATACGCCGCCCGTCCTGCGACGAGCCCAATCAGCAACGATGTGCAGAGGCTGCGTCGCGTGAGGCTGGACGCTCGCTTTTCCGGGCTAGGCCAATGTGGAGGCCTGACATCAAGTATCTTTAACGACCAGTGATCAGCGATTGTACTCTGCCAGGTGGTAGAGTTTGCCTGCATTGCACATTGTCAGCGCTGGCAATGTTATTGGCGGGATGTACTTGGTGCCGAGGGTGCCGCACGGTGGCCGCTTGTTTGTTGCCGGCGCCGACGGCGGCGTGCTTGGCCGCCGCTCATGCCGCTGCCGGCCGGTGCGGCGGCCCTGCGCCCGGCCGCCGGCCGCTCGTCCGCGCCCAGCTGGCGGCCTCGCCTGACCCGGCGCCCGCTTCAGGCTGCTGACGTACGGCGAGATGGACATCACGCCGGGGACCTGGCGGCGTATCGTGCTCGGCGCCATCCTGCTGGCCTCCAAGGTCTGGGACGACCAGGCCGTCTGGAACGTCGACTACTGCCAGATCCTCAAGGACATCGCCGTCGAGGACATGTAAGTGTCGCCGGCGGGTGACACCTGGGCGTGGCCGGGTCCTTTGGCGTCAGAGTGCTTGCCGGACGCCTGGGCGCCAGCAGTGTGTAAGGGCTAGCGAGGAAGTAAGCTGATGCAATCTTTCGCGCTCACTGACTGCCTCGCGCATTGAACAAAGTCCTGGTGAGCACTAGTTTAAAAGGCGACGGACGACTCCCGTCGAGTTGCACGCCGCAATAGCAATCGCACCGTCCGCAGGAACGAGCTGGAGCGCAAATTCCTGGAGGTGATCCAGTTCAACATCAATGTGCCGTCCAGCGTGTACGCCAAGTACTATTTTCACCTGCGCACACTGGCCGAGGCGAACGACCTGTGCTTCCCGTCCGAGCCGCTCAGCCGCGAGCGCGCGCAGAAGCTGGAGGCCATGTCGCGCGTGTGCGAAGACCGCCTGGCCACGGACCTGCTGCGCGGCGGCAAGAAGTGGTCCAGCATGGACAACGTGTCGCTGCACCGCCGCAGCGTGGCGATACTGTCGTAGCCGTAGGCGGCGCCACCGCCCCTCTGTGATATCGCCGGCGTCGGTAGGCCGCACCCGCGGCCGCCGGCGGCGCCGCGTCCCGCCGCTGGCCGCGGGCCGACGCGGCTGTGCTCCGCGTGCTCCGGTGCGCTGGCGCTGCGAGCCGGTGCTGCGAACGTGGACGTGCTCCGCGCGCCCCGCCAGCGGCAGCGGCGCCCCTTCCGTGGTGGGACCGTCGGCCGGCCGCGCCCCAGAGAGCGGGGCTCGCGTGTGTCGACGCGCCATGTGATGGCCGTCGAGAGGCCGCGCTGCGCCGCCGGTAGAGGCCCGCGCGCGCCGCGCCAGCCGGCGGGAGCTAGTCAGCCGGCCGGGCCAAGCCGAGACTGCAGTGGCCGGCAGAGTCAGAGCGGAGTATAGTTGGTCTGCGCGAGAGCGGGGAGAAGAGGGGGGCGGAGGGGGGGGGGGTACGGACGGACGGACGAAGGCGTCGCGCGCGGCGCCGGACTTGTTGAGCTTTGTTTACACTCGTGCTAGGTTGACATATGGTGCCAAACTCCGTGCTGATCACCTTGTATTTTGTTTCGATGATCTCTGGTTCCCTGTACTGTGCGCCGTCCTTGCTTGCTAATCCCGCCGGCGAGAGTGGCGGTCCACGCGAGGGCTGCCGGCGGCGGCTGAGACTGCTTTGAACTCGCGGTGGCGGACTGTGACGCCCGGGGCGGTCGGCGAGGTCAGCCGGCGTGACCTTTGCGGCTGCGCCGCCGCGCGCGCGGTGCGACCCTTGACCCGTCGCGTCTGGCGGCGCAGTGCGCGTTCTTACAACGTTCCAGATGCAGCATTGGCAGTGTTTTCCCGCCGCGGTGGTGGCCGCGGTTCGTGTGTTTGTACTTCTTGGCCGGTGTGAGCGGATGTGTCCGATATGGAACTAATACACCTGTTTTGTTATCTGGTGGCCGTCCTGCTGGCGGCTGGTGGCCGCCACGGATCTCTCCGACGTCGCAAGGCGAGCCCACCCGGCAAGCGAGCCGCTGTGCTGAGGCTGAGCTTAGGCTGGGCTGCGAAGACTGATCAGCCCAGTGGCTGTCCGTACAGCACGATGACATTGCAAAGCGCGTAATTTACTGTGATCCCGGTTGCGGCATGCTGTCCAGAGACAGATTTTAAGTTGACCCATTCTGTTTGCGGCACCGGCTGTGAGCTCCACAGATCATGATCCCGTCGGATTTATCGACAAGTCAGCGGTTGGCTGATGAAAGGCAACAGCCTAGTTTCACAACCTCATCAGCACCGGGGCATATGGAAATATGGAACTTTGTAATCATCCCAGCTACAAACTATCCGCAACATGTTTGCTTTCAACGGAGAAACAAAGCCGGAACTGGCTTGTTTGTGGCTGGGATGGAGGCTGCGGGACAGGACGCGCTTGACCGCGGTCGCCCCCCCCCCCCCCCCCCCCCTGCTGTTTGCAAGGATAATCGGTGAGGTTCCGGGTACTTAGCATTGAATTTAACATGGTTACCGGATCGGAACGGAACGAAACAATTTAACGGAACTTCGCATAATGGTCAAAATTGGACGGTCAGCAACGATTTCCTCCATGGCCTGCAGTGCAGACTTGACTTGCACCGAGGTTATGACGATACGTGAACTGTTACCGCAAGGCTCCTACTGGCCGATACGTGGATCACGGACTGCCCCACCTCAGCTCAGCAGGATGACGTCAGCAGCACTGAAGTAACGCTGACGTCAGCAGGAGGGGCTTAACGCACAAGTTGAGAGGCGTGCCTTTGACTTCAGCAGGACGAAACTGAAGTCAGCAGAAATGATGATGGCGACAACAGCCAAAACTATGACGTTACCAAGCGTTGCTCTGAAACTGGCCAGCGCGTCGTTTTACAAGCACCAATTCAACGCGAGTACGCATAGTGCTGACGTCAGTAGGCGACCCTGACGTCACCCAGCGTGACACTGCCGTCAGCAGGCATCGTCGGTGGCAGCGGAAGTCACTGAGAGGCGGCGGTGCCGAGGGTCAAGTGCAGCTGGCGAGTCGTCAGAGGCCGGACCCGAGCGGCGTCGCGGCCAGGCCTGCAGGCAGGGGCCGGCTGCGCTCGGGCCGGTAATGGTTTACGTAAGGACAGTACCAAAAGCGGCATGCGACACCAGTGCAGTATTGTGTGATATTAGATGCAGGCTGACTTGTATTATGAAACGGGAATTAATGTTTTTTAAGGCAAAGTGGACGGCAAGAATGTACGGAGCATGTTGATTGCTTTTGTTCAAAGACATGTATGTAATTAAAGTGCCACGGAACTTTCTTGTTCAATGAGTTTGCAACAGAATGCAGTAAGGTGGAATAAAGGCCGCAGGCCCAGGTGCATATGGAGACTCAGAAAACGTCAATACTGGGTGACAGTCTGCGAGAGGTTCCTGGCACCGAGCAGCCTGCTAATGCTCAGCATGCCATTTGCATGTCGTAAGTGGTGCGCTCCTGTTAGTGACAAGTGGTTTTGAGAAGCCCAAAGATGATGTAGGATCAGGAGAGGATCAGGAGGGAGTAGTTCATACGAAATACTAAGAAAAAGCCAAGAATACTTATAATACTACTTACTTTCCTGCCGCTTGCTTGGAGCCCAGTTCCCTTTGGTTTATACGCATATGTATTAGCCATACGTTGTTCAGAGTTTTGCTGGTAATTAGCGACTCGCTTTTCAATTTATAAACGGTGTGTAGGACTTGCAAGGCCTGCAGTGGGTTTCGGCTCCAACGGATAGCGTGGCTGAGCTCGCACAGCGCCCACTGAAGGCCAGAAATGGGCTCGGCAGTCCTGGCCTCAAAACTCCAAATGCCACAAAACTGGAGCCAATGATCATGGGACTCTGCACCACGAATGCAACTAATACTGAGGTCATCGTCACGATAGCTGCGGCACTAGCCGAAACAACGGAAACGGCGTCGGACCTTGAAGGGCAATACTCTTCCAGTCCATGGTCTCGCAAGAGCTGGAAGGCATCAGTCATGATATTTGGTGCACGTCAATCCGAGTCAGTAAACATTCACAGCTATGCGGTCTGTTACATCGCTTCCAAACGTTGCCTCCCCATCCGTTCCTGTATGCGCAGACATTCGATAATTTGGCACTAATTTGGCACATTCGATAATTTGGCCTTCTGCGTCAAATATCAGTCGATCGGTAAAAACAAGGGTGGTTTAGTACATTAGCTGTAAAAACCCGGCGCCTTAATAAGCAGCAAGAATACCACTTCACGTCGGGCTCCAGCAACAGAATCAGCTCACAAATAGCAGGAGATTCAGCACGCACCCGGCTCGAATCAGCACGCACTCGGCTCGAATCAGCGCGCACTCTGCTCGAATCAGCGCGCACTCGGCTCGAATCAGCGTCGAGTGCCATTCACTCCGCCACGATAAAAAGCGTCTAAATATATTGTGTGACAAGCCAAGCCTCGAAAGCCAATCGGGTCCTGTTTAGACTAGCATGCGAAAATACTGCAGAAAACTTGTGGCTGAGAGGTGCAAAACTGTTGAATTTGCATGAGAATGCGACGCTGCTTTGAAATCTTACCCTGAGATTCCACAGTCGGAGACGGGCGGTTTCTTGGAAGCTTCGAAAGGTCCGAAAGCCAATAAGGGCATCTTATGAAAGTTGTCCGTGCCAATCTCTCCACGTCTTATCAGGGAACAGGAATGTCCCAATCATAAACATCGTCCAGACACTTTTTGGCATAACTTGTTTTTACATATCGGAGGGACATTGTTAACAAACGCTCGGGTGAGGGTCAATTTGACACCAAAGGTTTTTCTGGAATGGTTTCCGAGCGGTGCGGCGTAGCCACGCCAAATTTTGCAATGCTGTAGACAATTGAATAGCTGATCGTTTGGTATCAAAAATTTAGATCTACCTTGTAAGGTTGCTGACGTGAGGTAGGTCAAAGTCAGGCAACATATTCAGCGAAATCAATTTCTAGAGAATCGCTCGTTAGGCAACGCAACAATTGAATGGACAAATTCCACTGACCTTGGGTCAGGTATTATACATCTTCCATGGACTTATTAAAGGTCAGAATAGCTCGCTGACGCTAAACGACCCAGGTCAGCATTTTGGTTTTGGGAACATGTTGTCCATATTGTCTTTGTCGCTTATTCAGATGTAAAACTCAAAGCAGTTTTGTATGTCTGTATGATTTTGGTTTTTGTGACCTTCGAAAATTCAAACAAAGCCACTGACCTTAAATGAGCACGTGGCCTTTTGCTTAGAACAGGTATCTAGATTCTGGGGGCGCTTTTGGAAACCAACCTGGAGTTCGACCTTGTTTGGCCTTATCTGACCCGAAGATCATGACCTAGAAACCTCAAACTTTGACCTAAGTAAGTTTACGTACAGGTCGACACGCCTTGTGAATTTGGCGTCTCTAGCTTTCTAAGTTATTGAGATGTCAGGAGGTCAAATTAATCTCCACACGAGCGAAGGGTACCCAATCGGCCACCCGGGCGCGTGTTGACTGGCTATTTTTCAGGGTAGTGGAGAATGTTGCTCTCCCGTAGATATGCCTACGTCTGGCTTGCACACAAATGTTTCGGACGGTTTTCCGGGTAAATTGGAGCCTCTGGCTGTTTGATACAAAGGTGTGAGGTGTGTCGCTTGCCGCCAAATAAGACGATGGTGAAGAAACGTAGCTTTTGGTTTTGTGTGAGAGCTTCTAAGCTCTGGAAGTTCCACCCATTCGGTTTTCAAGTTGTTTAATGCTTGCTCGCACACGTCAGTTTCCTTTCTGAACCCCTGTTTAACGTTAACAGACACCATTGCTCGCGTTCCTTGGCTTGAAGACGCAGTCGATGTTCAATGACCTATTGCACAAATGCTCATGATCACGAGTCTCTTGTCATGAACGAATGCTGACGTAATATCGCATCACACCACATCACACCACATCATACCACCTTATCTGATCGTTAAGCACCTCGTAGTCTTAGTCTATGACACTCAGATATCAGTTGCAGTAGCAAAGGCTATTGCAACTGAGAAATTCAACCAACTGACCTATTCA